ACGTGTTATCATATAGTGTCATTCCAATAAATAGTATACTTGCACTGAATGGTAGACTACGTTTAGCACCACAGACTATGCCACGATTATTGTTATTATTCCACGTAGTTATATTCTCATTGTTCAAACACGCTCCTCGAGGCGAAAGGTCGAATGCACGAATAAAATCAACACAGGTTTGGTTTTTCTCACATGCGACATCATAAGTTGCAAAAAAGCCTGGATTGGCTTGAGACTCGCATTTAGACGCAAAAAAGTCATGTTTTTGCAAAAAGAACTGCTCAACCGAGGGTAGCTAATGTCCGGGCATCCGTCGTCTGGTCTCTGAAACGGAACTAGTGTTTCTTCTAGAGGTATTCCTGCGACTATGATCGCGATCGCAAGTAAAAAGAAAATGTATTTTATACACAAATAAGAAAACATATTGTTGCTATTGTTTCTGGAGATGATGAAAGAGAAAAGCGGAAAGTATATGAAATTGAACTGCTTGTAGTTGTTCTTGTAGAGGGAGTCAGATGTCTTGGCTACGATAGTATTATCGAAAGTCTCCTCTTTATAAACTTTACCAAGTTATGGCATACAATTCTTTTCTTTATTCGTCCCACATTTTGCATTAGAATATGTTTTCATTCTCTTCGTATTTGGTCTTCTGTTTGCGGACGTTGATAAAATAAATATAGTTGATACAGATGGCCTTTTATCTGATATAATGTTTTAGCAGTCGCATGAAAAACAACAACAATAAAGGTTTCTTCGTTATTAATTTATCCAGAAATGACAACTCACCTAACACGATTTGATTAAAACATCTCGATATGGAAAGCGATCATATAGTCGCATGGAAGAATCAGTGATACACTGACAGGCCGCTATAAAAAGATTTCTCGTGTCTCTCAAAAAAAAAAAAATAGTATAACAGCTCGAGTCGGTATTACATCCGAAATTTTGTAAATGATTGCATATAATTAAATGACAACCAAATACGTATCGATTGGATTTGTCTATCTCCGACCGGACGAAATGGTGTGTGATATAATGTCAAGGGAGCAACCCCATGTGATCGCGAAAATAATTTATGCTGGTTATTGCTCATGCCTTTACAGTTACTATTTGGATTAAATTCTGACATTTATTTCCCCAGCATCTGAGACGATAAGTGCTCGTATTGACATAGTCACCACTACCCCACTCACCTTCTAAATTTTCGTCTTTATGAACTTTATTACATATACTGTACTACTACTACATGATGTTAAACAAGTAAAGTAATCGATATTTTTATACTGTAGTTAAAAGATAAATTGGTAGCCTTTTCCAATACCATTTTATTTACATGTTTTCGTTTCTCCTTTGGATCAGGTAAGACAGAAACTGAGGTCGGGATTTTTGCAGATCGTTCTAATTCCGCAATTCTAGCTATAAGTCCCGTTTACTTAGCCAAGAATTCAGCATTCTCCCGACTAAGTTTATCATTCTCAGCTACAAGCTTGGAGATTTGTTCTTCTAATAATTTGATTTTAGATTGTGTTTTTGCCATTTTTATAAAATACAGATATGTTTTAATTATATTAGCGAATACTAATGCGGGTTCACATTGTTCACGCCGATTACTTTTGCCAAGAAAAATTTATGCTGTTTACTTTCTAATTTATCATATAGCATCACAGTTGGTACTATATCTTTGTTGATCGATGTGTGACGGTATAGTACATCTATCGCCAGAAAATTGGATCATATGCTTGTAATACACTCCACACCCAAATGGATTCCACACTCGAAATAGATTATGCAACCCAATGTAGATCTTTTCCTCTCCAAGTTCGGAAAAAGAAAAATAGCATCTGTCTTATGGAATAAGGATGCTCCGCATCTAACAATTACCTGCTAATTATATACATTTGGCTTCGAGTGATTTATCAGGAGAAGGCGGGATTTCGTATGTCAAAAATAGATCATATTACAACCCTCCATATATGCACGCCCAAGTCTTATTCCCAAGCTTGGGAGTTAGTAATATATGCACACCCTCTATATTCTGCATTGCACGGTTTTGTTCATTTCCCACTATATGAAATCCACCCTCTCTATATGCACACCGTTATTTTTATGTAATTTTGGTACAACAAATGATACAGTGAACTCTCCTAAATGCACGCTATTTGATGGTCCCAACCTCGGGACTTGATGCTAAATGCACACTCTCTATATTCTGCACGTCGTGCAATAGATTTCGTATATGAAAATAATCTCCGTAAATGCACGCCCGTGACACAGCAGCTAAATATGGTATAGTCAGTCAATGCCATCACCAATGAAAATTCGGTGAGTTAAAGACTTTACTATTCCCAGGTTTATAATAATAAGACAATAAAGAATCCGTGCTATAATTATTCCACTTTACGCAAGCGAAGTATTATCTGGTGTCAAGTTATATTCGATATGCGAGAATACAGTTCTGTAGTAACATTGTCTGTTAACATCAGGTCATTGTATTTATTTAGACATCAATAGCAGAACATCTTAATATCATATTCTGTAATAATTTACGATTGTAACAGTTAGCCTCTATTTAAGCATGCCATCGTCATGGTCATAAAAATCGTTTATAACTAAGTGTTAGAGGATTGTACTGAAATTTCACCATTAATAAAAATAATTAATCACCGGTATGGCATTACAAGGCTTGGAAGCCGTACAAGAATTTTTACTACAACAAGAAAATGCAAGTAAAAATGGCAAATATTCTCGAGAGGTATATCAGTGCGACAAACAAGATCAATATATTAACCAATAAATGAATAAAGTATCAGAATTACGTAAATTTACTATGCTCTCCATAAATGCACGCTCTCACACTTATGGTCCCAAGGGCGTGCATGAGAGAGTTCACTGTAATTACCATTACACAAGATATCTAAACAAAGGAAAGATCGTACAAAGAGTGCGATTTGTACACCCATTACAATACCAACCGTCAACTATTCCGAAATTCTTCACATTGTCGATTTACCCCAGAGCATATGGTAAGCCTACCAGTATTACAATATCATTTGTTCAAAAAAGGTCTCGGCTGTATTACGCTAACTAACAATACCAACTGTTCAAAATGGTCTCGACTGCATACGCCAACTATTCCGAAAATACAAACTAAACACTTCTTCACATTATATCGATTTGCCCAGAATGTATGGTGAGCCTATCAGTATTACAATATCAAAAGATCTCGTAATGTATTATACCAACTAAACCTATTAAAAATGAAACTCACTTCTTCATAATGTCGATTGATCAAATACATTTACCAACAACTTCTTGGCACTCATGGTAAACAATACCAACTGTTCAAAATGGTCTCGATTGTATACAAACTAAACACTTTTTCACATTGTCGATTTGTATAATAAGCCTACCAATATCATTCGTTCAAAAAGGTCTCGACTGTATTATACCAACTGAACCAATTAAAAATGGTTAAATTTTTGAAGCAATTACTAAAATCACGAAAAATCACGAAGAATAAGTATTTGCATCATTCGTATAAAACCAATTTGCTAATACAACGATACTCAAGTATCGACATTAAATATCAATCTATATATTATGATGACATCACATTCCTATCTAATGTTACATCCTTTAGTTAAAGCATTTACCATACAATAAGAATAGATCACCATTTGTGTATCCATATTCGTTCGGTAAGTATACTGTACAATAGTATACGCGCCAATCTGCTTAAGTAAACTATATTATACTATAACAACGATTGTTATTCATACCGAAATTACCTTCTCAATGATTAGCGCCACCCGAGTGAGTATCTTACCGCACAATGTCATATAATTCATGTACAGTGTATTGACTCTACTCAAACATTAACATCATTCCATATAAAAATCCGTTTGTTATGCAACCTTGACACACAGATTCAACGTAAAAACCAAAACCATTAGAAACTACCAAACTATTATACCGTTAAAAAATTACAACATCGAAATCGACTACTCTTACGTTATTTTAAAACTATTTCCCACCTGCCCGCCAACGGCGGGCAGGCTATACCCTTACCTCCTAGTTCGTACTTACAAATTTACTCAGGAATCAGATGTGTACTCTTTTGGCATTATTATGTATTTGATTGACCACCATTTAGAGATTTGTTGTTTGACAAATGTTTGGCGATACGTGTTTGTGAGGGACTGCGACCGTCGATGCCTGATTCTGCGCCAGACGAATACAAGAAACTTGCCGAACGGTGTTGTGATGCTGATCCTGATAAGCGTCCAAAGAATGGAAGGACACTTTCAATGAAATTGAGAAAATTGAGAAGTTTATAGACAAGTTGAGAGATGACAACACATGAAATGCTATTTATTATGTTGATGTAAAGTCGTTATCATGTCTTGAGAAGGAGAGTAAATATTCTAATACGCTTTGACCGACTGGAGATTTGCCTAAACCAAAATCAGCTATGTTTTGGGATTCAGCTGCGGGTATGTTACAAGTTGGTACAAATAACGTCAATTTACAATATTAACACCGTGCATTTCTTGTATTTAGAGACTCAACCTTTTTTTGAATAAGCTTGTAATTCAATGAGCTTATTTACAGTTATACTCAAAGGTTCGAATTAAATGATGTGCTTCCACATACGTCAATATGGTTGAGTTAACAAGACGTCGAAGTAAAATTGTACGTGATTGTTAGTTGCCTTGCTTGGTATTATTATCAAAACTGGTTATAATGGTCATAGTAATAGTAAACCTTATACTCATCAGCGCGTTTCTATATTGTTAATCTGATGAGTGTTGATCGATAAAACTCTTAAGTTAAGAATCTGATTTCGGGTACGCTTAACATTAAACCTCATCGGTCTCTCCTGCGCAAAAATATTTTCCTGCCTCAGAAATAAAGTTTTTTTGCAAATACAAATTTATTATAAATCGCAGCACACCCGAATTGACTAACACCAACATACATCTCTGCATTTGCTGGACGCATCACCGTCTCCGTTTTTTCCTGGGAAATTTGAAATTCGCATTTTTAGCACAGGAACACGTAATATAAAACGCGTCATCTTGACGCTTTGCCGAGAGATGACCCAAAGTATACATATTTTGCCTTAAATAAGTAAGAATGTCTTCTGTGATTCCCGCGCATTTTGAAAACTGAACAGCTTCCAGCTGCTCCACCAACCTCCTCAACAGCACTATTGATGATCGTTCAAAAACACAGGCACGGAATGTAATGACATTAGGCTTTCCAGAAGCTTTTATCAACTCTATAATAGTAGCTAAGAAGCTACTCATAGCGCCTTTGACAAGTTCGATAGTTAGCCTCTGCAACTGCGTCTGTTGCGTTAAACACAAACATATTGCGATTTGAACTTTCCGTAGTGTATCGGAAGTAGCCTGCTTTACGTCAACAGAACCAAACCTAAAGAACGTCAATTGCGGCCCGACTTTTCCGAATACGTCGAATCTTTTAATCCAACATACGTTAACAAGGGATAACTCCTTCAATTTCGTACAAACAGCCATCAATCTCAAAATTAATTGTCTTGGTACATAAGGCCTTTTTCTGTTTGCATAAAATGCTCCGCATGCATCAAATATTTTGACATCATCCAAAACTTGTATAAAATTTGCGTACGGTAAACACGGTCGGCTTCCTTGAATCACCAACCTGTCGCAATACATGGCCGTCGTCCGTTCCTCGTCTGTCAGGTACTGTACAAGCAACCAAATCAATTTGGCTCTACGTCGGTCAGACACGAGAGAGAATGGATCGCGATACATAAATTGAATCGCAGAGTATGCGAGAGCGTGGGATGCAAGAATGCATTTGTGAAGCGTAAAGTAATCGTTGGCAAGATAGGTCATGATTTCATAGAGTAATTCTTGTGGAAGAGGCGCAAGATTACGAGGCTGTGCAATGTTGCAATATATTCATCAGATATGTGTGAATAATATATTGTAATTACTATGTTGACTCGGTCAACATACCACTCTTTGCGAAACATCTTTCGATAATAGTGTTTGTGAGGAATCTGGCTCGGACTGCAGTTTTTCCAAGTAGTCGTCCGTAAAGCGTACATGGTTACCCTTAAATTGTGTAATGCTGTCTCGCAAAACTTGTGTGCCTCTCAACAGCTTATAATGACGTTCTGAAATTGCTTCAACCACCACGACGACGCCGTCTCTGTCGTCACAGAATTTCACGATTGCAGGCTCTCTTGCCATGGGAAAACAAATCGCGAAACCCTCACAACAGTGTGTATACTGAAAAGGAAACGCTAACACGATCTGTGGCTCTCGTATAACTCTTACATCATTGTACATAAATATTTAGTTTTCATGTTTTATATTTCTTGAAAATCTGACCAATCAGAAAATTGCTAAACGCTACCTGAGCATAATTTAAAGATCCACCCCCTAATGATTCGACATCCACCAATTGTATCTGCTTGTGCGATGTAGATCTTTCCATTTATTTATATTTGGTTTACATTTAGCAATGATCGCTGCCAAAACGGCCTTTGAGTTATATCAATTTACATATTTTTAAATTTTATAAATATAAATATTAATATATTAATATGTGATCCTGCTGTACTCAATTTTTTAATTTTAACAATATGATCTACAAAATCTACTGTTGTCGCTATGGAGTTTTTTAATCAATCCAAAACTACCTCATGTTTGAATTTAGTATGTCCAGTATCATAGATGGTTTCATAATTGCCGCAAATTCTTAAATACTGTCTTGGTATGTAAAATCAAATGATAACATTATTTTATACGAGTTACATTAATATTAAATACTTTCACCTTTGTTCAATTTCTTGGTTCCATTTATTATTATTTTATTTTGTTATTATTGAGAACGTCATCAATTTGTTCACGTACTGCTTCATCTTATTAAGTCCACATAAACTATTCTAATGGGCCATATGTTAAGGAATTTGCTCGCATTTGACTCAAACATCTGTGAGTTGTGACTCGTGACGCGTGTGAATTTTAAAGTTATTTGTACAGATCACGTTGATGGTATGTAATGAACGTTTCACCTGAAAGAAAATTGTTTACAAATGATGGATCCACAAAGCTTTCTTGCAAATCACTTTTACAATTTTCATGACCACTTCCAATCAATCGTTCGAGTTGAATTTGAAGCTCGTGGAATTGGTAAATAGAGAGGTACAATGTCCAAAATTCGCAATACGCTGACGTTCACAGAAATAACAGTGATTCGATCTATGACTTTCCAGAGGTCGATTTGAGGTGACAGAGTGACATTTGGCTTTGATTGTATCATCGATGGCATTTTCCATCCAGCCGCGGCATAGCAGATAAGAAATTGTTGGTCGACAAAAAAACAAAAACGAGCGTATCGAACTTATTCGTGCGACTTCCTGAAATGAATGACGTAATTAGGAACTTTCTAGACCTTTTAACAATTTATTTCTATTGTTTAGTATGTAGCGTGTATTCGTTGGTGCGCAGAAATTGCGTTTGCATCAAATCAGGACCAATTCAAAATTTTTTTGTTTGAATAATTCATGATGGATTTGGCGTATAAATTATTATAAATATTATATTTTTATAGACATTATCCTATATTAAGCATGTTACTATCACAAGTAAAACTAAATGTCTATTTCAACTTATTCATCTGAATATTGGTCAAATCTGCTAGTATATTATATGCCACAGGTGTCCATTAAAAGGCTTCATCATTCGCATCGTAACTGTAATCTAGCCACATCAATCATTTTATGTAGTTGAATGTTCGCTTTGTCTGGTTTCGTTGCAAATGTTATGCGTCAGCTAAACAACTCGCAGATGATATCACAACCCGTATATGAAATGCCCGCGTTTATACACACTTTTATACTTTATCTTTTAAATTTTTAAATTTATTCTTTTTGGACGACCTGAAAGGTTTATATCCACGGAGACTCCGAAATCAACTTTGTTCAGTTAATTGTTTCCTTTGTTCTTTTAGTTTTCTAACCGACTGTATATAAGCTCCAAGAGGTGTTTCTTCAGGAGACGAATCTTTCAAAAATGTTTTCTGTAGAGCGAAAATAGAATGCTCGTAATCAATGGCCAACTTGAAGTAAGGACATTCCAAATGAAGTATGTATTACCACTTGTGCTCGGTTGTTGGGACTAAATTCTACGTGCTGACGTTTTTGCTGGATGTATTTTGCATTTTGCTCAAACTTTTCATTCAAGCAATAAGATATTCGATCAATAAAGGTGATCACAAATTCGCATAATAATTACTCTGGTCACTAACCTTCTCAACCAAAACATGAAGTTGCTTATTCAGTTTCAAATTCTTCGACTTCTTAACGTGTCTCTTTATCTACAACAAATCCTTTTCAATGATTTGACGTCCAAGACGTGTGGCACTCAAAGTCTCAATCCTGCCTTACAACGTACCTGGACGATAGCCGGAATAGCCAACTCTGGAAATGCAATCGACAAGCATTGTCCTCCATAATACTCTCCCATCACTCTTACCAACTCTTCTATTAATCCGTCCTGATATACTCTAGTATGCAAGTAACTTTTTGGAGCCTTCAGGTGTACAGAAAAGTCTAAAGGTTTTAACGTTGATGGCTTGGGCTTGCGCCGAATCTCGGGCGAGGAAAGGATAGAAAATATGTACGGTGCAAGCGGGATGAATACTCCTGTGCGGCTAGAGAGGTGAATCAGAGAATGCAGGCATTGGAAGTGGAGTGGAAAGTATTGTGATGCTGGTACTAATCTTTTCGTCGTCATAGAAGAATGAATAAAGCGGTGACATGGACATGATATGTTAAAAAGGAGGAGAGTAAAGCAATCGTGAGATAATCCGTATAAAAAGGTTAAAGAATACGGATAATTAATTGTGGTACCTTATTACTCCGATTGTTACTTGCACCAAAGGATAAATTAATGGTTGTAAAACACTTTCGCCCGACTCTGCAACACGTTGCTTGTCGCAATGGGTGGCGAGTAGTTGTGACCAAAACTCTATACAGTGAATAAATTGCCAATTATATACTGATTTGTACGATTCCTTGATGAGTATTAATTAGAAATCCAGCATGTTAGCTCAACGAGATTGTTTCCTACTCTCAATCCCACAAAATTGATTGTAGACTCTTACTTGACTCTTTATTGCCATGGAATTTCTCAAGTGAATTGCCAATTGCCGAATGTAAACAAACGCCGTTTGATATGATGTATTCAAATCAATGCCAAAAACTTGGACTCCGCAATTGCGCATGAGATTTATCCCGGGTAAAGTGTGTGTTGTTGTCGTCTGACAACTACGAACAAATGTCATGTATATCCCCTTTGAATATTAAAGATATTTGTCAATGTTCCCATTTCCATAAAGCAATTCTTTTCCAGCAAAAAGTCAGACATTAAGTCTTAATTTACCTTCAGACAAGTTTCAACAAACGGTTTAGGAGCCGTAGTCACCAGAGTACGCACGTTTAAAAATGAGGCAATTTTCACTTTATCATCTCCAGTTCCCCAGAACTGCAACAACTCTTTCAAATAATTCTTGGATTGTTTAGTAAAACACAAAAAATACGGAATAGACTTTTCTGTTTCTTTCAATACAAAATACACCATATCGTTTTCAGAAAGGCTTCTAAGAAGATGGAGAAGGCTAGTGATGTAAGATCGTACGAGAGGCTCAACAGTCTTCCATTTCTTAGCTGTATTGGGGAGATTTCTTCATTAAATGGAGTAAATGTAAGAGAGAGATATGTGGTAACGCTCAAGATGCATTCTAGTATAAGATTAGACACCTTACTTTTTCGTAACGACATCTTTTGTTTTCAAGTGGTGATCGAACACGTCGCTCACATGTTTCAGGCAAACGACCACAAGATTATTGAACACTATGATCAAAAATATTTAAGTTTTCTCTATTAAGATGATAACAATTCAGAGGTTTATAATAAAATCAATCTACCGGCAGCACTGGTAATTTTGTAGGCAAATGTTTTGGAGATGTCGTCCGCATCGTTCACATGAGCAGCAGCTCGAAACGCAAGGAGAAGACGTTTGAGAATACGGAGTGATTTTTTCTGTCGAAAAAAAAAAGCTTAAATGAGCATGTGATGGAAGCGATGCATAGTTTGTAAAAATACGGCAGGATAGTGCACCTTGGTAATGGCGTGCTGCCAACTTGAGACAAGCTCATTGGTTACTACCGAAGGCCCAGCAACCTTCTCTTGATCTTTTAAGCCAGCTTCTTCAAGTGCTTGTGCTTCTTCATCGTTTGAATCTATTTCCATTCGGTCTTCATTCTTATCTTCTTCCTCCCCATCATTATCATTGTCATTGTCATCGTCATCGTCATCATCATCATCATCGTCGTCGTAGTCGCCCAAATCCTCGTCATCGTTTTCATCACTGTCATCAACATCTTCGATCTCATCATTTTCATTATCAAAAGCCTTAACCTCATCATCATTATCATCATCGTCGTCGTCGTCATCATCATCGTCAATATCGTCAATATCATCGTCATCGTCATCGTCATAATCCTCATCCATGCTCTCTTCACCAGATTCATCAGATAAATTGAATTCGAGCAACTCTTTATCGTTCTTTTGAAGATACTCAAAGAACTCTGGATCTTTTTCTTTCAATGCTTCTAATTGTTGTTTGTGCTGGGAAGCCTCATTCTTGAAACCTTTCCCCTTCGCTTTTGTTGACCGTTTTTTCATATGGGCTATGATAGATCGAGGATTTCCTTGTAAATCTGTTTATGCTATTACATAATATATAATATCCCGATATTAATAATCCAGGCTTCCTTACGAAGCTCACAGAAATGACAAATTATGCCAATACATGTTTCGCTTGCCTTGAACTTTTTCGAAAACCAAAAAATTTTGCCCCTTCCTACTTTGATAGGAACACTTGTCAGTACATGATTGGACATTATTTGTCCGTAACACATTTATTGTTACGTAAGTGAACAATCACGAGAAAGAAGCGAGCGGACCAATTCTCCATTGCACTTTTGAAACTAATGTCGGTTAGCGGATTTAGAACAACGACACCACTGTTTCCGGCGCCAGCTCCTCGGAGAAAGTATCCCTTGGAAATTAAGGCTGGAAGATTATTTCGCGATGGAGAGACGAATTTGGTTAAACCTGACGATAAGAAAGGGTGCGTTATTAGATTTGTTGGCCGGACATGATTGCGTCCTTTGGATTCCTGGTGATTATTAACATATGTGAATATTACTTTTAATGACTGTAGATTGGTATACATGGATCAGGTGTGATAATTGATTTCTTATTCGATTTTCCTAATTGTCTTTTAGTCTGCTAACTATTCTTTCTATTGCAGGGAGATGATGGATTGATGCACTTTTACTGGAAGGATCGGAAAACTGGAACTGTTGAATTGGTAACCATATTGGCCATTATCACCATACGCAACGTTGAATTCGCATCTGCTTATTATTTTTATTTGCCAAACATCGACATGTCCAGGATCTCATCGTCATTCCTGGGGAATGCGAGTTCGTCCGAGTGCCACAATGTACAACTGGACGCGTATTCTTATTGACTTTTAAATCTAATAAGGAGAACTACTTTTTCTGGGCTCAGAACGCGAAAGATGACAAGGACGAGGAAAATCTTGCCAAAGTAAACCGATTAATTAACGATCCACAAAGTGCGCTGGCGGAGAATAGACAGCAAAGTAGTGGCAGCAGCTCTATGCCGGGTACATTTCGTCCAATGGACGATTTTTCCAGTCTGGGAATGGACCAAGATCAGTTGTTTCAAATCTTACAGCAGCATGGTGCCTTTGGGTAGGGGGAAAGACAAAACGTGCGATCATGATTTATTCGGACCGAGTTATTTTCATTCAAAGTTTATCTTAACATTATCCTAGAGGATTAAATATTCCTGCGACAACACCAGCAACAGAACCGCAATCTTCAACAAACATTTTACCCGAAGAGCATTTAACAACGCCCGCTTCCGAACAAGCGGGCATGACATCTGAACAATTAGGCAGTCTCAGAAACATTTTGTCTAGAATACAAGTTCCGGGTAAGATAAGGAACCCGAAATTTTTTTCCATCTCTTCTGTTAACAATACAATAATCGAGTTTTTTTTTGTTTTGTGTTTTGTAACATAGAAGGAGAGCACCAACCTGGCAAGTGTATTTCAACATTCTGTATCATTAATCTTTCAGAATACCATACTAACTTGGGTTATCTATAGATTTGAATTTGGCAGACATTCTTACGCCATCCGCGATTGAGCCATTATTGAATAACCCAGAAATAGCAGCAGGTAGTAAATATGTTTTATTTAAGAAAAATAAACTTTTCTCAGTCGCTTAATGTAACTTTTTTAATAGCATTATTCCCAGAAATTCCCCAAAACATTGAAAGAACACCAGAGGAGTTACGAGAAGTCATGCGAAGCCCGCAGTTCCATCAAGTACGAATATATAGTATTTACAAGCTTATCTCATTAATGCGTATTAATTTTATATATCGGTCAAACAGGCTTTACAGACGCTCAGTGTTGCCTTGCAATCAGGAGAATTAGGACCATTATTGTCACAACTTGGTCTGGATCCGTCTGCTGGTAATGGTAAGTAACCGGTGTGGTCGTTGTTCGGATAGTTTACAATCCCTTGAACATGCACATATACTCGAGTAAAAAATCTCAACAATTCAATACAGGTGTGGAAGCATTTCTTCGTGCTATTCAAGAACAAGTGCAAGGTCAGCAAGGTGAAGGAAGTGAGCGGTCACGGGATAACAATACAGACCAAGATTATCCGGAAACCGATAGAATGGATGAAGATTAGACAGAAAGCTTTTCAAAAGATTCACTTTATTTGACGTGAATACAAAGTGCTTTATAATATTGGAATGACGCATTTGCATGGTATATTCTATATGCATTATTGACGAATAATTTCGGTAGAACATTATATGCAGATGCTTTTTTGTATTAAATTAAATAGCTTGGAACTTTTTAATGGATCTTTGACTAGAAAATAATATTAACCAACACACAATTATCCTCTCACAAAATAGTCATTACATTCAACTGATTTGATGTCCAAAAATCTTCAATATTCTCGTGGTATGCTTTGGAAGCTCACGCAAATAATTGGGATTATTCTGAATAATTTCTTGCATGACTTGCCGTAATTCTTTTGTATCAGCCTCGAAATATCTAAAATTATCATAAATGATAACGTCAGAATAGAACTGTGATAATCCAGTAGTTCCTAGTTAAGAGTACTTACATGATGTCGGGAAACCATGTTGACCTTCGTTGATGCGGAAGTAGATAAAATAACTCAATTTCGGCCAATACCTATAAAGACAATTCATATTTATGATCATAGAACTCAAAATACAAACATAATTCGATTAGTGCAATACCTCCGCTTTTTGTGCCAAGTATGACCCGTGCTCATGATACGTATTGATTGCATTACTCAACAAACCAATGAACAGGTTCATCAAATAGATTACAGTGAAAAATGAGAATGCAACCATCATCACCGCGAGTTCAGGATTATCTTCTGCATTCCACCCGTCAAACGATGACCAATCACCTATTTGGCAAAAATTAATAAACATGTGTGTGACAACCGCTAAATCAACCACATTTGGCCCCAATCTTACCAGCAGCAAGAAACCTGTATACTGCCAAAAGCGAGGAACCGAACCAAGAGTACATATTTGTATTTGCATCCGGATCCTGAATCAGTATCGGAGCATCTACAAGTGTACCATTGCTCAACATTTGGCTAAAAGTTGGTGTCAGCTGCCACGGATCGTTTGGATCTCCCCCATTTAGTGAGCTTGGTGGCGTGTCGATTGATGAACCAGGCATTGGTCTCAGCAATACGAAAAATGCATGAGAAAAGCCTACGATCATGATTCCGAGAACCACCAAGAAGGAAAAAACTTGTTGTGCAACTCCAAAGATTATTGCTATGTAAATGCCAAAATATTTAAAAGGCCGAATTAACAATAGCAATTTCATCCAAAGGAGCAGGATGGAAAATGCAGACATCCATCTTGGCACTTCATGTCCTTGCAGAAAAAACAAAGACGTAACAAGAGGGAAACCAAAGGCGCCGCAATCTATGTAACAAATCGGAATAATGCATTAAAAAAAGTTGAATTGTATAAGAATTCACGTCTTTATGACTTACCGATCCAATTCCATGGGGATAAAACATAATATACCGGATTCCAAATGAATTGCCTGACTTCAAAATGAAGATGCCACACTGCAAGTATAGCCGACGCTAAAACTAGGTTTCTTTTTGTGGATTGATCAACTAAACCGGACTCGTCTTCTGTCATCGTAGCTGCAAAGCATACAAACAGCGCTAGAAACTGTATCCAGATAAATATGTAGTAATACAAGCCAAATGTTTGCCATTTGAAATTTATCAATGCTTCTACATCCCACATTCTAAACAGGTCGCGATTATCGCTCACGGTACTTGTTACAAACGGGCTTGATGCTGGGAAAAGGAAATCTTTCAAGAACGAGTACTTTGATGGGTATGCACAGAATCTTGGTAACCCAACCACAAGTGTTAGAGTGGAACGTCTCTTAACGCGTATTATACTATACGTAATAGGGATTAAAATTCTATACATAAATGTTACTAACGTATGCCGAATGTATATAAAAGCATAGAGCCCTGCATATCGTACCCATGCAAATGTCAGTGAGATACTGCTCTGGAGCGGAGACACTAACTGCTGCACGTTGAACAACAAATTTAAATATGTGGATGTCACTTCTGGTACTTGTGATGTATCCAGATAACTGAAATCGTCTGGTCTTCCGAATTTACGTGAAAATGCGTATAAATGGCGAGCAGGTAACTTCAATCGATTTATGGAATGACAACGCGGTTCCAAAATCAAGCGTATCTTTGAAAAATAAAATGCTGTCTGGTCTGGATAATACTCGCACAGCTTTGGTAGAGATGCAGTAATTATCTGCAACATTCCAATGTACGTAATTGAGTTCTTGCAAAAAAGATCAATACAAGTTTTGACTATAGTTTCTACAATAACGTCGTCGCGCTGTTTGATTGCCTCTGGAAGTAATATATAACCGTATTTGGCCAGGTTTTCTTCACTTGTCAGCATCCGAATAAGGTTGTTAAAGATACGAATTCGTTGCAGCGAACTATCTGCTATCGCATTTTGCTTATGCCACCAAATACTCTTGAAGCTTGGCGGCGGCAGCGGTCCGCTAGCGTGTTCGTATTTTTCGAAAAGTAGATCCCACCATATTACGCTTTCTTGCCTTTCCAAGGCATTGATCAAGCTCAATTGAGAAATTTTAGGTCCATAGGTAGGCCACCTGTCATCATCCCAGTAGTAACTTATTTCTATTGAATCATTAATACCATCGAGAAAGAATATACACAGACATCTATTAGTGAGTACTAGTAACTCATCATTGTCCAAAATAGTCGCGTTTTTTATCCATCCAAAGTATTCAAACTTTTGAGCGGTGATCGAACAGATAAAACACGATTCTTTGTAAACACGAAGTCCAGTTCTTCGGCTAATGATCCATTGAAGAAATCTTCCGTTTAGATTATGTGTATCTGATGAATCATCCGAGTGAATATTAACAAGATCTCTGATGAGAGTAGCTTGCAATGGAGCATTAAATAAATGATTCTGGTAATTATCAATGTGTTTGGTTAATATGTGTAAGACAGTTGGTATACCATCTACCGAAATTAGTATTATTCCTCCGCTGAGTGTGAAGGTCAGGCCAGGCAACCACTCTGTAAGCGTGCAATGTTCTTGAAGATTGAATGCGTCCAATGGTTCACCAATGTCTCCAGAAGAAGAATTCCATTTCAGGCAGTGTGGGTTCCATAACATAGCCTTTCCCTTTTTCGTTATTGTCACTAACAAGGTACAAGACGATGACTCTATAAATTCCATTGCAACAACGTGGTCGTCATCGTCATTGATAATTTGTACCGTCGACATTGGAAGTGCTGTTTGCACCCAATACACTGTCAATTTCTGAAAATCATCGTCGTGCGTTATTAACGCGGATAAAATCGCATTAGAATCTATTGCAATAATGTAGTTATCTTCATTATGTCTTCTCTCCTGTAGAGAAGTAGAATTATCGAGATAATATTCCGTCTCCATCTTTCCGCTACCGAGATCCCATTGTGTCAAGTGGTCGTCGTACACACATATCAGTTTTTCGTTAATAATCGAATATTGAACTCGCCTGCGACGAGTTCGCCTGTCGACGGCTTCTTCCGCCTCAGATGACCACTCAAATGATGTTGTACTGTGTTTCCATTGATCGCCTTCCGCGCAATATCGATGAATCCCAAGGTCATTGACAACAACAAATTCGCCAGATGAGAGAAAAGCGTAGCAGAATGCAAAGCTGGACCTCAAAGTAGTTAAATCAGGCTCAAGATACGGTTGCTTCTTGTCCGAAACAAATGAATAAACGACTAAATTACCCAACGAGTTAGATATTATAACAATCTTATAAAATATATGATTAACAAACAAATTTACCATGACCAGATGCCAGATACCCATAATCGGAGATGGCAAAACCTTGATAATTAGTACTGGATTTCACATCTACTTCTGAGATCGGCTCAAGTTCATTATTAATTTTCGATATCATCCATACACTTATCGATTCTTTTTCATCATCAAATAAAGCAACATAACTTCCAGACGGGGAAGCTGCAATAGGACTGGTCTTTCGTTTATTCGGTACAAGAGTAGTCACGGGGATATCAATAGACACGCTTGCGGTAGGCGAGTAAGTACTATTGAATGAGAAACGTTTAAGGTCTTCACCTTTTTCTAGGCTTGACATTCTAATCAAAATGATTAAGCGCGGGGATCCATCTACAGGGCAAGAATACAAATTTGTAAGTATCATGAAATTAAATCGGGTAACATGTAGACGTTGTGCTACTGACGACCCTGCTCTGATCCACTAACAGACACAGGAAACTATGCATATTTTTGGGAGATTAACTTTAATTTACCAATCAGGTTGCATTTCTAATCATGACGGTTCTTGGCAGTGGATCCCTTTCTTTCCGGATTTGGATAATCTCCTTAATATTAATTATTGATCTCCATATCACGCAGAGTTAATAACGCAATGCAAACACGTGATGCAAATGCCAAACCCTTATTTAATAAATTTCACGTTCAACCTAATACTAACGTTCATTACTTAAAGCTCTTAAGACATCAGTGACAGATACCATGGATTGCCTCTCGTAATAACGTACCAACGCACTAACATAATAGCAGATTTGCTGTTTAAATGAGCAGAAACTTGTCGTAGACATTCTCCAGATATTTTCATTCCGTGACCCTTTTGTAGCGAGCGCGCTAAAGGTGCACACCTATCTGTATAAACGTAAATATTATCAGTTCCATAGCCTACTTTATACCAGAAAGAATAATCGTCCCTCATTGAGACCAGGATCATTTTATGATACGCATTCTTTCGTTATGCAATATTGCTTACATGGACAAATATGTGTCACATCGAAGAGAACAATTATATTACAAGCTCAACAGAAGAAAGCCACGCTTTGACCTAATTCATCGGGTACACTGCTAACTTTGAACAACATAATTATGATTATAATATTTACAAAGTTAAGTTAGTATTATATTTGTAATTGCGCTCATAACAAACGGTGACATCATTTTTTTTTGTCAAGTGTGATTGCGGAGTCGGCATTATAAAAAGTACAATAAACAAAAAAGTCTCTACATTAGGCTGAAAAATTTGAAGACAGGTCGAGAGGAGTTATTAGGGGATAAAGACTGTAATAACAAGACCGATATTTAGATCGTGAGTATAAAATCGTAGTTTAAACGTGACAGAAATTTCAGAGAATTTTCTCTTAACTTAGAAATTTTATTGCCGATCTAGATACAAATTAGTCGCAGACTTAATAAAGAGGTTAATGGTGAGTGCACTCCATATTAATATTAATATTAATTATTGTGGCAGATTTAAAACGAAATGGGGCCTTCTCGGAATGGGGTGTAGAAAGCTTAGTTCTCAATTTGCGACACAATATTTCAAAGCTGATGACTGGCTGAAGACGTCGTACATTCGGTCACGTTACTGTAACCAATTTCTGAAGATCTTGCATTTGACGATAACTTAACATTCAAAGAATTCACAGACTCAAGCCAATCCTAATTTTATCAACAAAGATGGTGTGTTAATGTCAAAGTTCTGATTGGAATTTCTACAACAGTCTTACCGATCCTTTTGACATAGATTCGAAGACAAACCCGCCTTCGCCGCGAATATCTTTATCGTAAATCACTTGAGACAAACGAAAGACAAATATATGAAAGAAAGCAAAAAATTAAAGAAGCAATAAGAGGTCTATTACATTTTCATTCGCCGAACACGTTGAATTCGGGTCTAATGTCTTCGTCGATATACAGTTTGCTTGATCAATTATTAACAAACTTATATAATAAATAGAGGGGAAACCTATTCCTACTGAACTAAGGAAGGATGCAGCACAGTTACAGAAGGAACTCCATTATGATGAAGCGCAAATAGGTTGATAGTTGATTGGTAAATATCTGCTTTGCGTTATGACACTGGATTTCTTACGTATTCTATAACCTGTAGAGCCATCTACTCACATTGATGACGAATATGCACGCGCCGGAATATACGATCCTAAGGTCTTGATCACTACTTCACGGGATCCCAGTAGTAGGCTTCAACAATTTGCAAAGGTTAGAATACGTTCATTTATGACAAATCAACGAACTTGCTTAATAGACATCTTCTGATCACTTGAACCACTAGGAAGTGAGATTGATTTTCCCAAATTCGCAAAGAATAAATCGTGGTAATTACATATTGAAGGATATCGTGGATGCATGCAAATCTAATGACGTCACAGACTTGATCATTCTTCACGAGCATCGTGGTGAACCAGGTAGACATTATATTGCATCTATTGGCATCAATTGGGCATTGAACTAACTTCACTGCTTGTAAATTTATTCAATAGTTGGAATGATAGTGTGTCATTTTCCTTATGGACCGACAGCTTTCTTCAGTTTACATAATGTTGTGTTGAGACATGATATCAGAGACCAAGGCACAGTTTCGGAAGCCTATCCTCATCTCATATTTCATAATTTTAACACAAAATTAGGACACAGGGTAAATTATTGGTTCTGTTATCTGTCAATTAGTTGGCGTAATCCTGATGATTGCATCAATTGTAGGTGATGAGCATACTTAAATATCTATTTCCAGTGCCAAGGGAAGACAGCAAACGCGTTATGACGTTTGCCAATGAAAGTGATTACATATCGTTCAGGTGATCTTCAGACGGTAGAGCAAGACAAGTTGGTGGTTGTTTTGTAACAAATCATGAAACTCATAAACATAATTTCATTTTCAGACATCATGTATTCATTAAGACAAGTCATAAAGACGTTCAATTGGCTGAAGTTGGTCCTCGATTTGAAATGAGACGTAAGTTATCTAATGCCTATTATCAATCTTTACAACATATGATTCCATATTTCTGATAATTATCAATTGACTGACCTTAACTAGTATACGAGATTAAACTCGGCACGGTCGATCTCAAAGTAGCGGATACAGAGTGGGTGCTGCGTCCATATCAGCGCACAGCAAAGAAACGGGACCATCTATAAACCAATACCAAACAATTAGTAATGAACAAACATGTGAACGACAGCTTAGTCATATAAAACCACCTGTACCATCAATGTTTTCTGACCAAAAGTAGACTTGAAAAAATGTAATAATTACGTATTTCTAAATATCGCAAGAAGCTTGTGTCACTCTAGAGCTCTTACAAAAGTACAAATAAGGAAACAAGTAAGCAAATACATATTATAAATTACTAATTGTATACTAAACTGCGTGCTAAATACTATATTAACTTGATAATAAACTCAACAATGCATATACACAGATAATGTTCTTACCTGCTCGTGATTCAAAATAATGGATTCGGTAACACACAACCAATCAATACGTAAACAGTCGCTCAACTCGTCTTAATAGTAAATACTGTCAAATGAAAGCCATATTAGAATCTTGCAATGCCGACTAAGAAGCATTCGACAAAAATCCAAATATTCACGCTCCCATCTGCTGTTTTCAGTCTCTGACGCATAACTTTCTCTTGACAACTTATAAAATCATAAAACTATCAATATAGAATAAACCCACTCCTCCTTTCTAGTCAATTATTTCCTCATGTCTACTCCAGCAACAAACCCTACATCCCGTCATCTAACCACCACTACCACAAACTCGAGAACTCTTTCCAAAACGGCCGAACCGGGGAATTCATCCAGCTCCTCAATACAACAGCCTCCTCCGTCACCTCGTGCACATTCCAAATCAATACTCACGATAGCGCTACAGAAGGCTCAATCTGCCGTGCTATTAGACTCTGCCAATAATGTAGCCGCTGCGTTAGCCGCATACAAGCAGACTGTAAGGCTGTTATCGCAAGTGATAGACAAAGCTGCTAATGAAGGTGATCGCCAAAGGTTACAGAATATCGTGAGTTATTCCTGTATTAACATTACTTGTGATAATTTGATTACTTTTTATGCGCATTGAGTCATTATTTCCAATCGTAAGATCGACTTGAGCATATTTAGAAATTGTTGCGAGTGAATTGACGCTTGCTTATTGGGCGTTGAGCATTAGAGGCTCAAAGTGAATGATAAAGGATTGTATATACATCATTTTATAATATGTGTTTCGAACGATCAATTAACGTCTAGTTCGGTTGACCTTTTTATTTCTAGCACGACACATATGCCGAACGAATCAAACTACTCTCGACTATTGTCCCTTCTCCTAATGAAGACGTAACTAACTCGGAGAATGATCCAAACAACAATACACGCAATAATAAACATACTAGGCAACGGAGTGCTAGCTGTGCAGAACCAGTGACTAGTCCACAGACAGTTATTAATTCTAAAACAGTGGACAAGCGTAAAAGCAATTCCTCTGATCACAAAAAGCGGATCGATGTTCTGGACAAGGCAATCCAGAAGAGGGGTTACACAAAGTCCTCGCCAGCAGATACAAAAGTACTCCACTATACTAATTCAACTGCATCAAGCCAAATGGACGATCCAAGTCACGTTAATGTCACTAACGTTAATGGCATTACATTTAATGCGAACGTACCAGATACGACTAGTGATTCAGAATCCGCACAGAAAGCAGGACCAAGGAGAAAAAAATCAACGTCTTCAGTATCAACAACAAGATCATGGAACTCTAGAAAATCTTTCATGTCGGATAAGACAACTCCTCCTCAATCAGATTACGAATCGGCTGCAGAAAGACCAAAATCTCCTGCAGAATCTACAGAAGGAAACGAATCGTCAATCAGTCTATCTGACTTTGGATCGGGATCGGAAGATCAGAACGATGTTTATGGGCCTCTTATCAGAGATGAAGAGGCGACGCAAGGCATAAAGCATGTAAAAAGCAAAAGTGATCCAACAAGAATCGATACAAATCCGAATGGCAATTCAATGACATACAAACAGCAATTAACTCAGTCCGAACAGAAGCGTTTTCAATCACCGCGTATTTTAATTCCACCTCCCCCTAAGGGAGATCCACCAAAACCCGCACAACTTAAGACGTTTCAACCTGAAATTATAAAGTATGTAAAACCCAAGGTTTTTAGTCCAACATTTCTACCTCCTGAACCACCATCAGTTCCACCTCCAGGGACGGAGGTATTAGAAAAAAAGAAATCAACCTCAGTCAAAGCTAGTCCCTCACCAAAGCCATTACCGATTTCATCAAAATCAGAACCTAATCTATTAGCAAGCCAGCATCAAGATTTGAATGATGATGTTGCTAATAAGCCGTTACCAACCCAAACACGTTCGAAAGCATCTACGCCCTCTACAAAACAACTTTTTGGTAAGGAGGCACCTACAAGTCGACGGCCAGGACCCCTTCCCTTGGTGCAAGAAAAACAATATAACTCCCGTATAGTACTTACTCGTGTAGCATCGAGCCAAGATACTACAACCCCATCAAGTCCTGGCCCGCCCAGACGATCAGCCTCGAACCCTGGTCAATCGCGAAAAGGTCATAATGCCACTCGATTTAATCCGCATTTGTCGACTCTGCCTGGATCGCCTACTTCACCGTGGGTCTCGGGTTTTAACATGCAGTCACCACCGCTTGGTAGTCCGATGAGTCCGCTGTATAGGTCAGATTCTGCAAGATTATATGATGCAAGTTATTCCTCATTGGTCAATACGAGCTCTACGCATTCTCTCGATTCGGGTGTTTATGTGCCGGGCCAGAATGCGCCACCAGATTTACCTCCGGATGATGTACATATGAGGCCGTTTTGGTTAATGCGGCTGTTGGGGCGTACGATGGCGAGTGGGGGATATCTAACCGAAAAGCTGTATGTTCCTAGTAGTGTTTGGGGTCAGGCAACTGTTAAGCTGTCTGCTATAGAAGCAAAAGTTTCTAGTTGTGACATTATATATAACTGTTTGTTGAGGCTGGAAAAGATTCCTGTTCACGATATGGATGGTCTTGTCAAGGTTAGTTTTATAAAAGAGGGGAAATTTGTGTTTGCCGCAGTTGGTGATAAGGTCAACTTTATGAAACGTCCATGTATGATACTTGAATTACGCTAAAGCTTGAACATCTTTTGTAGGAATTGGACTCTATCGATTCTACTATTGAATCTATCCAAAATACTCTGGCGCGTAAGCTCAGTTTTGTAGAGTCGACAAATGGAAAGAGTCGCCAGAGTACTAATTCTATTATGAATTGGGGAAACAAAATAAGTCAGCGGCTTGATCGAATGTCTGACAAACGTAGCGAGACTAATGCATATGTAGAAATTTTATTGAAAGTATTTACTAATGCTAAAGTTGTGGGTGAGTACAGGTTATATGTTGAGATATTTCGTCTTTGATTATTGTCATCGTTTTGAAAATGCTTGGGTTACTTATTTTACATATTAACTGTTTATAGAAACCTATATTACCCACTTCTCCTCATTCAAAGCACCCTATCATCACCATCACACTCACATTGTAACTCGTTTATATAAAATAGCCGACTTTTTTGGAAATGTTATATGTCGATTTGTAGTAAAAGATCTCGGGATACTCATAGATAAATACGTTAAAAGAGGAGGGCACTGGTTAACAGACTAAATTACTAATACAAAGTAATATATATGTGTGTGTGTTTTCTAATTAATCTTTTGACTATTTCCCCGGTTTATTTCTATTTACATAATAGAGATTACGATAGTTGTATGGTTTGTTAGAGTTGTTTTGAGAGTGTCTCATTTGTATTATTATATTTATTCTTTCTATATATTTCACACGCACACACCTATATATATCTCTCTCTTTCTCTATATATATATATTTTCTTATTGAGAACACAGCTGTATCATATTTCCTACTATAGGGACATGACATGTTAAATATGATCTCTGGAAAAAAAGCGAACGCGCCCATCTATCAGAATAAATTGTAGAAATATTTCATAATCCTACATTTTGACACGTCGATTGTCACTTGTTTGCATCAACAACTTTCAACACTGTGCTTGCCCCATAATGATCTATGAAATAGAAAGTGTTAATGTACAAGGGTTGGCTAAAGCGACGCAAAGACATCCTTCGGGTGCTCACCAGACAGTTGTGTGAACGGATAATCTTCCTTTACGAAAAATTCTTCGATTTTTGTCCTGTCGACATCATAGACAAAATGCGCTTCACCGGTTACATCCCTCTTGGGCTTTTCGTTAATTGATAGAATATAATCTAAACTCGCCATAGCACAGTAGTCATGTTTAGCAGCAAGCACTGTTTCTCTCGGTTGTAAATGTCCATTTTCGTCCACCGTAATGTCACCAAAGGTAACCGGATGATGATAATAACTTTCCTTCAACAAATCTCTTATATGGAGGGTCGAATCGACGAATATCATATGCTCGGTAGCATCAGGTAAACCTGGATCTATCAATTTTGCATCTATTCCCTCACCACGCAATATTTTCATCATCAGCTTGTACTCGTTACTATCCCCTGTCGCACTTGCAGGGTTTGCTGGATCATACGGAGGCCGACCGTTTACATTCAGGTCACCTACAACGAGAATAGCCTCGTTTGGCTTACGCATTGATTTAGAAACGTGTTTGTTAATAAATTTACGTAACGTTGCTAATTGTTGGTATCGAATTATAGCTGATGGTTCCGTCACGGGAGGTGAGCTCATGTATGATGCTTGAGTATGAGTAACAAAGAGATGTATAGTGTGCATCGGGGTCACTTCGATACGAGCGTACAGTGCCCCTTTATCGGAGAATCTATGATCGTGTTGCGATGACTATTTTAAATGCGTTATAATCATACGTTTTGTTATAGGATCCCAGAATGACCCTGGGTTAAAAAGAAAACAAGGAATATTTTCCCCTGTGACATATCGTACCTATCGCTGTGAACACCGACGGGATACACAATAAAGTCCCTGCTTCTAATGGGAAACCTGCAAAGTATAATTAAACCTCCGTCAATGGAACCACTCAGAAGCCGCTTTGCGGGAGAGGCCCAAGAGTAATTAAATCCCGCCTTGAACGCAGCTTCCAACAGTCGCGCGCGTCTGCTACTGCCAAAGGCAAACATTTCCTGTAAACATATTATGTCGTATTTGTGCAAGCAATGTTTTATAAAGTACGCAAGTCTCGCTTCCTTGTGGTCACTGGCATTATTCTTTACGAGAGGCGGACGCATGAACAAATTAAATGTCAGCAAACGAACTTCCATGACTGCGAACAGTAAAGAAGGAGGTACCCCAATGGTGAATGTGTTGTGCAAAGAAAGCTGTGTGAAACAAGTCTATGTACTTGGGTAATACAGTTATTGAAAGACTTTTTTAGACTACCGTTTCGAGTGTAACAGACTTTTATTGCATTTTCTTTATGTGCAGACAGAACAAAGAAATGGATGAAGATTGGTTAGTTGTTTATAATGTGGAGTGTAACAGTTCTTTTGGCGAACAGTTTGCCTTTGAGAATGAAATTTTTTTAATGACAACGTTTGTTATTATTATTATATCGCCGATTATATGCTAACGCTGATACTAACGCTAAGCCGTATTTCTAAATCTGGCGTTCGAAATAGACAATGCTACAAACATCATCTTCAAATGGTGATGAGAACGACACTTTTACAAACAAATAAACAGTTTCTTTATTACATATGTGTACAGAAATCGCATAATAATAACGCATTTTCAATTTTTAAGCTGCTCCGTTGTCGCTGTATTACCGTTACTAGTAGCGTTCGGTATCAATGAGCGAACAAGATAAAATAAAAGACTAACCAGCATACCACCAACATATCCAATTCCATCATTTTGGAAACCGACCAATAATCCTGCCGTTACGATAACAAGGGTAAAATTCTTCTTGTTCGTCTCGTCGTCGTCATTGTCATCACAAGAGGTCATGAAATTTCGTGCTGCACAGGCCAATTCCGCTCCAGAGACGAAGAGCATTACACCGAGAAGTGAATAGGGGAAGAATCCTAAAAGACTGGTTAAAGTCCTTCCAAACAAAATTCCCAGAATCAACTTGAACAATCCAAGAAATAAAACGCTGACTTCGGATCTCGCGCCGAAACGATATTGACCAGCTAGTCCACCTGATCCATGACAATATGGAATAGATCCGAAAAAACACCCAATAATGTTCATAAGACCGACAGAGACTGAGATTTTTTCAACAGTGTTCAATGAGGACCGTTCCGGGAACAAATCATTAGCCAACGCCGCCAACGCGATAACAGAGTTGAGAGCTGTCAATGGAAGTTGTCCAAGAGCTGCATTGAGAAATCCAGTTTTAAATTCTTGCAGAGTTGGAACAACAGTTGTGGGATAGTTAAATGAGACTGATGGTGGCGTCGTGTCAGATTTGAAGACTTTTACCAAGGCGAATGTTAGCCCCAAAATGAACAGTATTAATGCAGTCGGTATTCTTTTGGACGAATAGAAGACAAATACGAATATAAAGGCTAGAAGAGCCCATTCATAATTATCATTCCATTTCCAAAAAGTACCACCCCAACTACCGTTTTTTCGAACCATATCAGCAGCCTTTATGATCAGCGTTATGCCCGCTCCCAGTTGGATACCTCTGATTATTGGAATGGGTGTAAACTTCTCAACGATCTTGATAGTTCTAGTGATACCGAGAGCAAATATCATAAATCCAACGCCAAGACCTGCCGACATGACTTCACCAATTGTTAGATGTGCCGAAATTGCCACCGCTGCAACAGCTGTATAGTAGATATACTTGTCAATATAATTTTTCTAAAAAAAATACTAAATGATAAATATGCACATTACCTTTCATGGGTTGAACACACATGGGTATTCGAAACATCAAACCACTCGTGATATTCCACAATCCCCCGAATATAAGCGATGCTGTCAAAGACACTTGCCCGGTAATTGAAAGAGCTACCAAGATTGGGAGTAAGGTACCCAGGTCGCCTAGACTACCACTTAATTCCGATAGGGAGACATTCTCCTTTATATGCAAAGCTCTTTCTTTGGCAGTTGAACAAACATAATGCAAAGGATTCCGCCAAAGGGAAGGATCGCGGTTCGAATTTGGGGATCCTACAACTTCGATGATTTCATGAGAAGTCATGTTTTAACTCTCGTTAAAAAAAAATGCTCGCGGTCCTTTTATCTCATAGTTATCTTGACTTTTTTTCCCGATAACCGCCATCCGTGTGACGATACACTACTCTATCTTTCAGGTTGTAATAAGTTCTATCTGTAAGTAAAAAATGCGAGTGTCATCTCCATACACAGAAAGTTCTGGCAGCTCTGATTATCGCTGTATACGTATTTGCTATGGTACAACCTTAATTGATAGGAGGCAATAACCAATTTACAGCATGTCGTAAATGCCAATGCAATGTTATTTATGCGATTGTAATAGAAAGTTAACAGATTATCTTTCCAATCAAAGATGTACATTTTTACGTGTCACAGCAGATTGCAAGTACCATTCTAATTCTGTGTACATCTCAGTAATATCGATAACATTAACGAATTTCCTACTTCTACATTCTGAGCATCGCATATGCAAGACACGCAAAGCAAATCCTCTACTTGCTCCATACAATCCCAGAATAAAAGTAGTTTATTTACTTGCAATGAAGGAAGCAATAGCACGATCTACAGGATATCAATAAATGCCAATGTTACTTGTACGAAAATTTACAATCGTGATAGAAACTAGAAAAGTTACAGATTATCTTTCCAATCAGAGATTACTAATATAAGACATTCTGCTGTAATTGTTACAGTATGACTAAAAAGTTTAATAATTCCACCAGTAATAGTAATAGTACCTAATTACCGATCACCATTCTAAACCTCGTGTATGCAATCTAGGCAAAGCAAGCCTTGCTTCCTTCACACAATCCCAAAATAAAAAGTAGTTTATTTATTTGCAACAGACTTTTTAGAAAAGATCGTCACAAACATGATCATCTGCCGCACAAGGATCGCCGTCAAAGGATCGCCGCTGTCGCCAAAGATTGACGTTACTTAATTAAAATTAAAATTTAAAATATATGAATAACGTTGTTTCAGTTACATGTATAAATTATTTTAATTTGCCAATTAAATAGTAAAATATTTCCTGTCGAAATCGCTATTTCTATTTTGCTGTATCGCGGTATTTACATTATAAAACTGTGTAAAAGACATTGTGTAATATGGATTACACGGTTGCGTATCACGAAAAGGTCTTTTGTCTTAATATATCGAATACCGTATTCTTCCGAAATAAGCAACACCCAACACCTGTTTTACATAAGTTCCGAAAATAAGCAACACTTCAGAATAAATAATTTACCTTTATAAATGTATTCAATTAGTTATTTTATTTTATTATTGTTATTACAGTAATAAAAAATGATTAATCCGTCTCATCAATGATGTCAATGATAGTCAGTGGTATTATCGACAGCAATCACATAATTCAGTGGGAATTTTTTTCATTTTATTAAACTACCCAAAAACAAGCAATACTATAACAAAAAAGTGTTGCTTATTTTCGGAAGAATACGGTAATAATGATTCGATCGACATGTTACATGTCAGGCTTTTAAATATTTCACTTTCTGATTTAAATGTGGCTGTCTCTTTTCCCCAGAAATATTATTAGAAAGCTTGCGTTATGGGAATTGTATTTATTCTGATTGTACGATTCAATCAAACGCTTCTGTCAATTCTATCTAAGTTTGATTTAGTAGTGAATAGTAATAACGGCACTAAAATGCTCAGAAGTATTGACCTAAAGGAGTAACGTGAGCGTCTCATATTCGAAATAAAATATCACACTTTACTCTCATTATAAAAGTTGCAACAAGTACACAACGATACGCTCAAATCCACGCGTTTACGCTTATTGTGTTGTAGTTTAACGAAATAAATTGCTAGGGATAAATCAAATACTCATTCTTTGAATTATCCTTGCCAGAAACATCTTTTTTTTTTATCTCACAAAACCTGCAAACTCTGCTTTAATTCTTACATGTATACAAAATGTTTTGTGTGCTAAATTTTTATTTTTTCTTAGATTTTTACACCACTTTGGTCATTTTGCTGGTGCTAATCTGTCGCTGGGTTTGAACGATAGCTGGACAAATAGAATATTCTAACAATCGAAAGCGTTAACTCTATAGGCAATCAATGCCAAACTGTTTCCAGATGACTACTGACTTCTTTGCTTTTGATATTTTCTTTGTGTCTTTGTACTTTTGTCTACAAAATAATGTAAACAGTATGGACAACTTTTCACTGGTTTTATATAATCGTCAAATGCATCTGCTGTTAGAAACGGATCCAATAGCTAATGAACAAACAATAACCTTGCAGATAAACTGTTCTCTTCGATCTTTTGCTTAGATATTCACTAGTGTAATACATAGCTTTTTTGAGCATCAAGTTGGATGATACACAGTGCAAGTCGACATCAGATTGTCAATACAAAAAACGGCTTTTGTAGTATGGTACATGTATTAACACCGAGTTAATACATTTGTTAGAAGGTTGATATTTGTTCCAAAGTTATTCTAAATTTATCGTCATTTTGTTTAATGCTGAGGCTTGGTTGACTCTCAGCTTTCCGATACGTTCAGCGAATATTAGATACTCGGTATAAAAGTCATAGTCTCATTAATTGTTGGTGACCCCCTTATTATTATGGATATACACAATAAAGTTCGGTTTAACAAAGATAGCTTACATATGTTTAGCTTCCGATTCAACAAATATACTTTAAAAATTCTAATATAATTAGGCTACCTATTTTTTGCAATCAAGTTACTACTGCATGATGGTACACCTCCCGAGAGTAAAGGCACGAGTCGTAAACTTTGGAGGTAGTTTTCCAGTTAAAAACGAAGAATGATGTAAGAGCGAAAATTTCTACGAGGCGAAAGGCAGTAAAAACACTCTATAACAATAAGGCAATCGGACAAAATAAGTACCAGATAAAAAATAAAGTTTCTGCTTGTTTAAATATTGATTACGTTAGAAAAAAGTTGTAAGCACTCGAACGAAAATGGATTTAAAAAATTCGTCGAAATAACCATCATTATTAATAAATGGCAAATGATTGGACAAGGTGAAATTCGTCGTTACACGGAGCTTCGCAGATTACAATATGAACTATAAATTATGTTCTTGGTTAGTCCAAAGAAGAAGAAATAAAGTACAACACTAATCAAACCTCCGTTATATATTTGGGTCGTCAAAAATCTAAACCCTGAAAGTTTATTTAGGCATACAAAATAATTGATAACCCTCAATTCAATTCCTTCAAATAATGTTCAAAATATGACACAAGATTCAACAAAGGTGAGCTAATGCTTGTTACCTCTTGAGCGAGTTCTTAGTACTGGCATTCATCCTACACTCAATAACACAGCTCGACGACAAGCGCTTATATATCGGGAATCTGGATGCTGCAGTTGACGAGTAAGTATAGCACTGTATATACTTTCGCGGTTATTTGTTGGGCTCTATTTAAACTTGGTAGACATTCTTATCCCCGCTAGATACACAATAGTAAAATTGTTTGAGCCATATGGAAAGATCACACATCTCGACTACTTATTTCATAAAAGTGGTCCTCGTCGAGGTCAACCTCGAGGGTACTGTTTTTTAGAATACAGTCGCAAAGAGGTTGGTGTTTGTTTCTATGCAGGAAAGATTGTATTCTCCATTTCATAATCTTTGTCGTTCTAATATGCTCCTTTTGATTTATTATATATTCTTGGCTATGATTCGGCACCAGGAAGCTTTGAAAGCCATGACAGCTATGCATTCAAAGGTTATCAAAGGTCGCCCCTTGATTGTAACCTTTGCATATGCGGTTTGTATTAATTAATTAATATATCTTGTTCTTTAATCTGTTATAAAAAGACGTGCTTAACAATGAGAAAAATTACTCTGCTTTTAGACATCTCATAACAATGAAGACGGTCAACTTGGATCCTCAAATAAACGAACAACAATCGCCAACAACCGTCCAACTACCATATCACTACTAAAAGCAAACAAGATGCTTCATGCTAGGTACTCGATTCTACAACGATTACGTTTCTGTTGTTCAATGTTGCTTATAAATTTCATCTTTGTCACTCCGCAGCACTAACGCAAAGATCCAAGCACTTGAACGTAAGCTTGCTCAAATGCAACAACAGAAACCGAAAGAGCTGAGCGAATCCAAGAACTCGTCAAAACTTTCGGAAAAAGAAGAAAAAATTCATCATTTTTCCAATAATCGGCCGGCTTCGATGAAAATGTCAGCGGTAGATGACCATGCTTCGCAGTCGTCAACCCGAGCGTCGAGGAGCCGTTCTGACGCGGAGGTAAAAGATAGCGGACAGAGATATCGGCCATACTCTGTTCCAAGAAAGAAACATGAATAAAGGTTAGGTAAGGTGAACTCAATTTAATCGAACCAAGTTATACTAGCAGAACAAGCATTTGGAGTAGCTCTTTGATGTTCCTTTATGGGGAAGATATTTATCACTAGATATCGAAACGATACGTTTGATAATGCAGTAAGTGAAATCTATAACTTTCCTAATAACTGAAGGACTCATTGTTGGTATCTTTTTGCTAGGCCTGCATTGTAAAAAAAGTTTAACTAAAAAGAATCGTAAAAAGGAATTCCTTGCTTTCTGTTAGAATTGAATCAATCAAGTGCGTCAGTAATGCAATATCAGGTCATATACAATCGTTGACTTTAATTACAATAATACCAGGACGCGCTTGTTTTTAAAATGTTGTTTTATTTCGAACAAGACTTTTCCCTTTGTCAATAGTTGTGATTTAGCTCATTAGGTTAGCCTTGTTTCTGCTGACTGGAGATCGTCCAGTCATAATTGAAATACAGCGTTAGATGCATGGATGTAAAAACTTTATAATATTTATTAGACCGGCAGACTATATTACCACACCATTAATAAGGATTTATAAAGGTCCTGAGAGATACACTTTTAAACAGATGTTTCTCTGTTCATTGACGTGAATAATAGAAGATTTTTCATGAAATGATCTTAACCAGAGGGCGAGTTAATCCTACCGAATCTGATAATAATTGACAAATTCATGTATTGTTAAGTTAGATACGCTTAGCATATTCCAAACAAACAGTCTGTCCATCGTTATGCAGCTTGTTGCAAAACCTGAAATTTAGTAATGGCTATACATCTATTATACATTAGGATCACGCATTTGACTTTGAATACGCAACTCAATAGTCAAAGTTATTAATGTCTTCGCTCGTCTTTTGCAATGCTCATTCTCTAATCTCATTTTTACCATATTAACTTTTGCGAACCATGCTTGGCCATGTCTAAATTTAGCAAAGTGTGAGCTTATTAGTATATATGAATACTTCTCTAGGCAGCAAAAAGTTTCCGCTTTAACCTTTCATCCAATGTTTACAGTCACTAAGTTCACTTACCCAATACCTTCCATCCATTCGTAATGGGATCTCCAATCCGACTTTCCTCTTTCGTCAGAACACACGCATACGTTACTTGGTCAATCTGGTCTTCCCTCCCTTCTACTATTTCGTTTGTTGATATGCTACGAAACACTATCACTTCCTGCGCCGAGAATGTTATCACTAAGACTGGTATATCATTTTCTAGTATCTTGGCTGTGAACAACTATTTTTTGAGAGTGTGTTAATTAAAAAAAGAATCCGTGCTGCGGAAAATCGTATGTGTGCACTCATTACCTCTACATCTCGGATATCGAGTACTCTGCAATCGCTCAAAAGGCCATCTTTTGTTTGAGCTGCGATGCCATGTGTGAGAACGTTATAAGCCTATATCCAATATACGAGAGCAATTAGATAAACCAGATTGCAACAAAAAAAAATATAATCAATTGTCGCTCACCGCCTCTGAACACCATTGTTTCAGCGTTTCCGTATCCCCTTTCAAGTAGGCCTCAATTAATTCCGGTACAATGTACTGTCGCGCTTCTCTCATAAAATATTCTAAATTGAAGCTAGGATCTATTGCTTTTAACTGTGATAAGGCTTGCGCTGTTTCTGTCTCGGCAAAGAAAGATCCTTTAATGAAATGGTTTAGAACTTTTTAGTCAATAGTTAAAGATCAGACGATTGACCAGCAGAAGCGAATAAGATTGAATAAATCACCAAATTTATCGTTAATACTATCGGTCACGCGTCGAGAATAAGATATGAGAATGTTATCACTATTTTCATAGTCACTTTTCAGTCTAAACAAGACTTTCTCGATAAAAATAAAGAAAGAAAAATGAGTAATCTTCTTCCTTCTTGAAGTCACGGGAAGTCACGAAATAGCCTATATCAAACCTTGTATTACAGGGTTATTCTCTTTAAATCGATTCCAGCTCTCTTTCCATTTTGAATCTTTATGAAGCACGACGGCTTGTCCGGCACTTACAAAGACAAAATGAATTCACGATAAGTATATGATGACCTTAATAAAAATGTTGAATGTCAATAACGCATCTATAATATACTTAACACTTTGTAAGTCTGCTACTTACTTGGGATCTTCCGCAACCCGATGCTCGCTTGTATTAATTTCACGTGCAGCTTCCTCACGCATACTTCGTCGTGTCTCTTTATCAATAAATCCAGAGTATCGTGCTGAATTGTCTTTAACTGTCTCTTTTATCGAATCGCGGACGGTCGAATACACCTTGGTTTGTCGTAGCGGTTCGGTGGTTGAAGAGACTTGTGACGAGACCTTCTCGGTAAACAAAGATATCTGTTGGGGTAGAATTATTTTGATTAGATTATGACAACATGTATAAAAAAGCTAATCAATTTGTATGACCTTCTCACGGCTCTCTTTGATAAATTCGTTTCCGCCAACTTCGTGTATGGCCTCGGATACCGATAATCCTATTTTTCCAGCAGATTTCTTGATGTCCTCAACTGAAGCCTTGATTTTCTCCGTCCCGATACTCGCGGTTGCATCAGCACCTTCCTGATTCAATAAATTGATCGATAACTTTGGTTGAGGTACAGTATGGGGTATATTGACTCAACCACGACCAAATCGTTCACCTTTGCTTTATTATACAGCTCCTTTGCTTTCTTCATAGCTTCTAACTCGGCAAGCTTATCCGTTTCCTCTTGCAGTAATTTGACATTCTGCTGAAATTCCTTATTTTCCCCAACTTGTGTTTTTATTGAATCGATAAACTTGGCAAGCGGACTGACATGTCGTCGGGGTAGCGTGTATAATCGAGGAACCAGTCTCGTGCTTGGCCGTGAAGACGCCAAAAAACCATTATTTGTTATAGAGCGGGTTAACAACCTCCAGGTAGTCATTGTACTCTTTGACAGACAAACTAGCGAAATGTGAAAAATTTATAGTTTATGATCAATGTTACACCATGTACATATAGATCAAAATGACCATTATAAATTACGTAAAGAGCGAATTCATTACATACGTAGTATATCGATAAATTCGTTAACTAACGTTTAATGTTTTACGTCAAGAGATCAAAGTCGTATATCCATCAATTCTTGGTCCGATTCAATACAGTATTACGCTTCATCTTTTGTACTGTACGAGAATTCGACTTCTATTACAGCTGTGAGATAAGGTTATGCGAATTATTGTAATAGGCAATAAACAAAGTCTTCATCGATCGTACTGTTTTTCTATCCGATCGAACGTCCATTAGTTAAAGTTTGTGTATTATTGATACTTTATTCTTATACGTTAATAATGAATGTAAATACTCTTTTAGCATATTAAATTAACGCTTCTATAAAGAACTCAAATACTATAAATTCATTCGCGTTCACAGTGGAAAGCTGGCAGATTCTTATCCATGCCTGACTTGAATGCCACGGACTAGTTCTGAGTTGTTGCCATTATAATAGTTTTCCAAATAGGACATAGAAAAGAGTTCTGCTAACACTTATTGAAAAAAATCTCGCAAGTTTGTATTATATGTCGGTGGCGCGATTAAGAAAAAGATGCAGAACTGGAAACAATACATCTCGAAACGAGTAATCCGAATTAAAGCCATGCGACAGCCTGATCACAAATGATTTTCTAAATTTCTATTTGACACTGCTAGAATTTCAATATTTTTGGGAAAAGCAGAGATTATCGATATACCCTCGTGCGTAGTTTTGCTGGTATAATAATATCCCGTTTAGAAGTAGTAATAAACACATTGCGATTCTCCTCGCTTCGCCAAGAAATTATAAACGCGATGGCGGGATCAGCTTAAGTGACATGAACCAACACCATAAGACGGTAAGAAGTTATTAATATGATGAACATTTACATTATCATCTTTACCCTTTAACAAGGATGGAATCCTTTCTGGTATAATCTTTTGGATCCGGAAGTTTAACATTTTGTTTATATAAATCGGAATTAATTAATAAAAGTTAAAGGCATTCTGACTCGATATTTACCAGGTTGGGCATCAAGGTGTAATTATTATAGAAATACGTTTATAAATTATACACCAATTGTTGGGAACTAATATAATACATTATTGCGACTGTAATTTATTTTTTCCAGCTAATGCTACAAATGCAAATTGTCAGCTGTTATTTCTTGACTTCCCTGCTTTGACAATGTATTTACGCTCGCGTCACTAAAAAATTTTCGTTTTTCTCATGGTCAGGAATGCTTGTTCGCTTTTGCGGATTGCCTTGCCCAACGGTTAGATACAGATTTTTATTTAAGTCTTCGATCGTGGTTATTATGAAAAATATAATAATAAGACTGCTAGATGCAAGGGAGCAAAAAATATAATAATGATTATAATCTGCACAATTAGAAATGTGATTAGCTACAACAATGGCAACATACACAGTAACAAGACGCGGTTACCTATTAAGTTAATGTTTTTTTGATTCAATTATAGGGTGGCAATATCATTTGGCTTGGCGTATCCTAAAAATAGAGTCTCGCATAGATAACACCTGTTTCGTTATCACGAATAAAAATAGTTTCGGAAAGTGATACATCGCGAATCCGGTTTATTGTTCTCCAAGTTTGGAGATCATTTAGAAGAAGTAGTGCGTTACTGCTACTTTATTTTAACTAGTTGCTGGATCTTTTCATCGTAAGCGGGTCCATTAGATCAACGCATCAAGAACTGAAAACGAATTTTGATGCCATTATTGATAAACTTTCTTATTCATACCAAATTGAGAACCATTGTACTTTATTCTCAAACGACTAACAATATTTCTATCTCTCCTAGGGAATGATTTTATTCAAAAGTTCATGTTTGTAGTGGAATTACAAAGTGTCCGTTATACCAAATACTTCTGAATGCAACTAAATACACAACTAAATACAAGCAGCTATTGGTAACTGCAAATGTGTCAGCTGACACCGAATTTCCCCCCTAATCAAATTAGTTCTCTTTCTTTGCTCTCTCTCTATTCACAGAAATTCCAGGGTCAAACTATTAAGTGTCGAATACCACCATCAGAGCAGACGTTTTTGCGACGTCCTTTTCCCTTGTCCCTAGACCTTCATTCATAGTCATCCAACTTTTTTTATCTCAATTCACATCAATGATGCCGATTATGATACTGCAAAGATAGCAAAACAGAGACCAATAATGGAAATGTATATAAAAAGGGAAAGAAAGAGAACACTGTTAACATTGCACAAGTCCAACATGTTAGATTCCTATATACTCTCTCTTTCCCTGGTATCCTTCTGGTCCTTCAGCCTAGCATATTGCTGGCAAATGTGAACTAAACTGGGCTTAAATTCTGAAATTTGAATATAAATGACAAATATTGGGAAGACATGATTTTACAGGTTCGCAGAGCTCAAAATTATTGTTTTCATTCTCTTTCACATTTATCCACACACCCTCTATTGCCACATCATTATTATTGCTAGCTATTTCACACCAGCCAAGCTCCTTCCGTGTCATTCCCAAATCCATTTACAAGTTCCATTTACACTACCGAAATCCAATCAATTCACCTGACTCCGTGTTCATAATCTACCCTGAATACACTCTCCCAGCGCTTACCTTGCGACCACGTATGTTACGGCGGTCATCATGAGATTGCCAGTCGAGTGGACGAGCGTCCTGTGGCGGTTGTGTCGATGGTGGCTATGGAATGCGAGGGATGAATGACAAGTGCAAAATTAATGGGAGTCTCTATTGATCTCTAATGTTGGATAGTCACCCAAACACTAAACGTTGACCCCCAATATAGTTGAATCTTTCATCTGCTAACCTGTAGATGATGCCCAGGAGGCGGTGGTAGGGGAGTCGTGGCACCATAATGCATTCCTACTGAATGCGACCCACCGTGTGGAGGCGGGATGTTGTATTCGCCATGCGGTATTTGGTGAGGATGATGAAACATCATCGATCGTCCATCGTGCCATTCTCCTTGTTGTGGTGGCGGAGGGGGTAGGGGTGGTTGTTGTAGTGGAGGTTGCAGCGGAGGCTGTAGAGGCGGTTGAAGAGGTGGTTGTTGTAGAGGCGGCTGTTGTAACGGTGGCTGTAAGGGTGGTTGTTGTAGAGGCGGCTGTTGTAGATGTGGTTGTTGTAATGGGGGTTGTTGTAGCGGAGTTTGTTGTAACAGAGGTTGTTGTTGAGGATTGATCGAGAGAGATGGGATTTGTTCCATGGGATATATTGGGGGGATGTTCATGTTGAATAGTGGGTTTTGTTGAAAGTTGGAAATTTGGGATTGCATTTGTCGTAAGAGATCTAATTGCATTGGTTTGAATTTTAGTCGAGTAAGTGCAGCAGGTAAATTACTGTCCACCTGCGTGTCATTCTTAGTAGAGCACGACGAAATTAGTGTTAGTAACCGTCTTAGGCATCTGACATATTTAATAAATCAAGCGAGTTACCTCTACCATGAGTGTCTGGTCTTCCAATGGAATTTCCTTGATATTAGCCTCATCTTCCATCAATATCTCACTAGGTTCAGCAGGACTTTCTGGTATTTGAGACGGATTTATGTAGGTTTCTTCCAGAATGTGTCTAATTCTCTCTTCAAATAGTTTAGCCTCTTCGCTTTCACATACGGGTAATTCGATATCATCGAAATGTATTTCTACAAAAGAGTGTATTCATAAGAGATTACAATTGATTGTTTTGCTTATATTACAGACAATGGAAATAATAAATAAGTAAAAATGTATTGTAGATTGATATATTTGTTTAATTTAGCTTATGTCTAAGAACTCATCTGAACAACATTTCTCGAACACTGCAATCTTAAATATTCTCAAGATTAATATAAAGCGGATCAAATACCCCTCTATAACATTGATAATAAGGACTAATCGTTATAAAAAAATATAACACAACTAATCAATACCACACATCTCTTCCACCAATAGCCGATTCGAGCCTGCCCGCCTATGCATCTTACGATTGACGCTCATCCTATGCCATCTACATTTTGCTCGACGAATGGTAGAGGACAGTTATAGGAAAATATCAATCAGATTGGATGCATATGGGCAACCGGCAAGCAGCAACGTGGAAGAACGTTCGCATGATAATCGACAATTGACAGTCAATTGTCGACTCATTCAGTTCCAAACCACTCGCTGGAAACCCGCGGTTTGATTCACCGTAAAATAATCAACCCGCATATCAATATACAAGTAATGCTTGTATTGTTAAGAAAGTGGTGGTTATGAGTGTAGTAGACCTCTCGTGATAATATGTACCTTTTGGTGGGTACCATTCGATGCTAGGTGATATACGAGCTCGTTTGAAAGCGGTAAGTCCCTCGTTCTTTTCCAGATCCCTTGCATTTCCGAATTGATGAGGTATCTCCGTTGCCGTTGACTATTGGAAATAAAGAGACAACATGTTAGATAAACCGATTCAGAAACAATCTTATAGGTGTGGAATAGTTCAATACGCTGTAGTCAACTCCAACATGGATTTTGAAACGCACTTCATCCCAAAAGCCAAAACCTCACCTTACTCGCATCATCCATCTCGTCAACTTCAAAAATTCTGATACTTCTCAGTTCATTGTCCGGTGCAAACGTGACTCTCTTCCTCTTCTTTGGTTTATCTACATCCATCTTGTCAATATTACTAGTTGACATTTCAGAAGAGGACACTCCTACGGTACTAGATATAAAAGATGATGAAGCAGTAGATGACTCTTGTATCTTACTGCTGGCAAATGCACTCTCAAAAAATGTCCTAGCCGCCGATGAACTTGATTTATCTAACTGCTCCTGTTGATCAGTTAGTTTATTCGACGTCTCCTTATCGTTTCGACCTGTAGCGGGCGTCCAAGAGGCAATAAATGAAGACGATGTCGAAGGTATTGATGACTGAGTCGTAGCTTTGCCTGCTCGCGATGGAGCGAGTAATTCATCAAAAAATCCTTTGTTCGTTGTTGCGACAGCTTTAGTTCCATCTCGCGATCCCGTAGAAGATTGGGTCGGTCTTGTTTTGGATATTATTTTTATGCTTGGCGGTGATGATTGTCCCGTCACGACTGGTTTCCGTAACGACTGAAGGAATAATACAAGAGATGAGTGGGAAATTGAATTATATCAATGGGTACGAATGACTTGTATATACCTCTGGTGCAGGCCTTTTGGTAGATTGTGCTCTTTGGCGCAATGCTGGAATAGAGAATGAGGAATATGAAACTCATTTTGATTACTGATGTTTATAGCAAGTCGATATTTACCTTCCAGATTATCCGGACTTGATTCACTCGTTAACGAGCTTCTAAATAATGGCAGGGTGACAATCAATATATCAATCGACTTGTTAAAAATTTGCCTGATTCATTATGTTAATACTTACTGCGCTTTCTTCTGTGCATCTTCTGCTCGGCATAATCATGCAAAAATGAACAATAACGAGGATATAGTACAAAAGTTAGTTCAACACATGCAGTATAACATTATTTATATTTGTCTACCGCACCTACTTACCTTCATCTCGAATCTTTTTCTTCCACTTTTCTAATATTTGCTCAACCATATCTCTTACTTCTGTTAATATATAGACATTGTCAGAATAACTTTAAAAACGACATATTGCATTACAATAATATGCAAAATCACCTTTTTGATCACTAGCTTTTAGTGCTTTATTGTTTACAGCCTTCCCTAATTGAGTTGCTTTCAGGCTATCGGTGTCCATTGGTAAATGATTTAATACCTTGTAAATAGGAAAATGATTGAATTAATATACAAAAACCACTGACAACGATAATAATGACAAATATCGACGTTGTGAGAATGCATGATATTTTATCAGCACATGAAGAATATCCAACGTAACATAATGTTCGCTTACGATAAACAGACAGACTTCTTTTATGATAAGCATGAAATTTAACATACTTCCAATAGTTTAAGCAAAAGAGGGCTACCCTCTTTTGTTGCTTCCACGAGCCATGCGCGTAGGACGTGACCTCCCTTATTATCGATAAAGCTGTACACAGTAGGCATTAAAAAAGTTAAGCAGACGAAGCTTGTAACACAGTAGACATGCTTGGAATCCGTTGCGCGATTAAGCGTCAATACGAATGTAAATGGGTCTTCCAATACATCCACCCTTCATTCCAACACAAGAGATCTTGCAAGCAAACAGATTCGCTAACCTTTTCAAAATCTCCTCGATAGTTGTATTGTGCACGGCAGTAAGTATGGCTGCCCGAGTTGATACGTTCTTCTCATCTTTCATGTATCGCACAAACTCTCTTACCACGTCGATCGATCTCAAAGCCATCGATGGGTTTAAGAATGCTGCTAGATTCTGCGCAGGCTAATGGAAGTGGTGGGGAAAAAAAGTAATGAGGGCAAGATCGAAAATCAAAGTAAAATCGAGCGTAGCAAGTGAGGATATTGGTGCTTACGTGTTCAGACTGCATGTCTGTCATGATCGTATCTGATAACTGAGGATCTTCTTCTAAGTCTGCTTTTGTTTATTTAGAAAGCAAGAAGCAACGATTGAATAAACAGGAATAAAGCATCAGAGTCGTTTATTAAGTGATAAATCGACACAGTATTGAGAGAAGAATAACGGTGTTTGTTGTCACGACGCCCCCATTACATGACGCGTGTATGAATATGCTTCTTCAGTTTACATTGCACACTTATCCTTTTTCTCTCTTGCCATGTTTTTTCATGTCTTATCTATATCTCTCATTTCTTATTTATAATCTTAAAGATGTCGCGTCTCACTCTTTCATTCATATTCTCTCACTTTCATGCTCTCATTCTCTCGTTATCTCTTGTATAAATATATCCAACACCGTTTGCATTCTCTGGTCTATATCTTTCAGATCCAATCTCCTCCCTCATCCTCCAAACTAATTAAAAAAAAATCCTCACCGACTGGGACGACTGGGACCTCTGGGACAGTTAATACTTCATGATTAAGACGTTCAACGTTGAACGATGATTGCTCTTGTGATGTGGCTACGATAATTGATAGCATAGTAACACAGAGACGCGCTCGGTACTTTATACAACAATACGACATACTCGTGATCAAGGAATATTATCTGTTAAACTTACCATAAAAGTTGGATTGTTGCTGTATCGATACGTTATTGTTACTCTTGAGACTGTTGCTGTTCTCGAGTGCTTCTTTTTTCCGTCGTCGCTGAAACCAGTTAGTTACCTAAACGTATCAGGATAGAATGCGTGGTATAGTACAAAGACCGTGATGAACAATGATGCAAAAAATATGCAAACTAACAGTTCGTATATTATTAGATAAATATTCGCACATTGATAAAGGTACATAGCAGATGTTCCTTTGATATATAATATCTACGAAAGATTTAATTATTCTAATTGACCTAATACACTCACTTGAGTCTCTGTCACATCTAGAGCTTGCGCAATCTGTGCTTTCATGTCTTTGTCCGGAAAGCGCTGCTGGGTGTACATTGCCTCAAGATATTGAGTATTTTGTGGCGTAAAACGTACTCTTGTTCGTCTCTGTGTGTTTTCTTCCATTTTGTTAAATGCCCCGTGTCGCTGATAAATGCTAAGATCAATTTGCATTGTCTGTAGTGAAAGGAAGACAGTCTTATCTACAGGTTCTAAAACAAGTGTATATACTGCGGGCTATAATTCCATCGACGAAATGTGGAAATCGAATAGTCCTTGGTAAGAAGACACCTGGTATACTGTATTAGTTTGTTGAGGAGATAGTGTTCAGTATTGGAGAAAATGATTCAAGGAAAGTATTTATCGCTGACGTTAGAAAGCACGTGAATCATATTCGTGTAATATTGCTGTGCAACAAATGGAAGAAATTCCTCATAGTAATAACAGACACCGAGTATGATTAATATAATTCTTCAATTGCTCTTCAGTTTCTAACACTTGCAAAACCCACGCACAGAACAACCGGTTCCTAAGGGCTCACATGACTCTGTGAGTTATTTATCAAACTACGAAATGATAATCGTATATACTAATATTGAATTCGTGAAAGAGCTAATTGATCCCTGAAGAAGCAAAAAGGTTGAATAATTAAAAGTCGTATGATCAGGTAAACGTCGTGGCCCCACGAGGATGTAGACGCAGAAAGTTAGACGCGTCACGATCGATACGACCAAGTAAGTTACAATAAAAACGCGGCTATTTTTCTTTTTATATTACCTTTCTTAGAATGGTTGAAATAAAAGAAAAGGTCTCATTTCCCTGGATAGGATGTAATATTTTCAGTCTGCTAATAAACAAAGAGCGAATTTTTTAACGCCTTAACACCCCCATTATTGTCCACGCCATCGTTGACTGCATTCAAATGTATCCTAGTATTTACATGAAATTTTATCTTTAAAGATTATAATCAAACCGAAGATGCCAAGAAAAATCTAATCACACAGTACTTGTCACATCAATCTAACAAATTTCCTCTGATGTTTGAGAAGGTTACTATTTGTAATACAATAATGTTGCAGATTTATATGTACCAGTAATACTTTACGTATATTTGATTGCTCGATAGAAAATACTCAAACCGCCAATGAACATTCTCGTGATGATTTAAACCAATGGAATTATTTATTTCAGACTATTAAACGAAAAATGCGTATTGATTTTTGATAGAAAATATTACCCGAATGGGAACTGAAATTTATTCCTACGGGTTGGGATTCATTATTATGATATTAGAATATCATTATTATTATTATACTGTATATATTACAACCAGCGCAACGGTTATATTAAATGTATTTATCGTGAAAAAAAAAACTGCGTAAAGATTTTCCGAAAAAGTTGAAGTGGATGGTAAATCAACACCGTGGAAATTCAGACATTCTCTACGTAAATTACAGCAAGCTATCGATTCTTTAATAATGCGTTATATGTAAATAGTTATAAAGTCCAATAAATTAATAAAGACATAGTATAACTAAAAGAATCATCATTTTCCTGTCGACCTAATTCTCTTCCAAACAAACTTTGATTGTTAATACTTGAGACTCGTCCCGTCTTGGGCTATTTTTGACATGACGGGCTCTTTTGCGAACATTCAGATTTTATGGGATCGATGACACTGATTTGAAGTACAACAACATTGTTGGACTCTAATAGACGCGGGGTTGTAATGAATATTTCAAATGAACACATTGATTCGTTTAAATAGATTACATTCCATCATTTAGAATGCAAATCAGTTTTATTGTCTAAATGTTGATTAAGATTTAACCAGTTATAAAAAGGTTCGACTACTTATCGAAAACCACTTTTAAGAAGACGATATTGTTCATTCCGTATGACTACAATCCCATTTATTCAGCAACAAACTAGAAAAAAGGGGGAAAAAATTTTAGTACCCCATAACACAAAAATACAAAACTAAATTCCAAACCATCAAAAATTAATACTCACCAACGCCGCATATCCCATACCACTTCCTACACACATGGAAGTAACACCAAATTTTTTCCCAGTCCTCCTCAATTCATACAAAAGCGTGGAAATCTGCCTGGCGCCTGTGCATCCAAGCGGATGTCCTATGGCAATGGCTCCACCCTTAGGGTTAACCTTACTTTTGTCTATTCCCAACTTTTCGACACAATACACCGCCTGAGACGCAAAAGCCTCGTTTATCTCATAAATATCGATATCATCGATCTTCAACCCGGTCTGTTCGAGTAATTTAGGAATAGCATATGCGGGTCCAATACCCATAACCCGTGGAGGAACACCAACACACACTCCGCGTACGAATTTACCCAATACGGGTAACTTCAGCTTTTCGGCTGTCTTCCTCTTCATCAACAATACAGCTGCAGCTCCATCACTCACTTGCGAACTACTCCCTGCAGTTGTCGTGCCGTCGGCTGCAAAGGCGGGCTTCAATTTTGCCAAACCCTCCAACGAAGTATCTTTTCTAATCCCATCATCCTTATCGACTACAATAGTCTTCTCCTCCTGTGTTTTAGGATCAGTCCATTTGGTTTCCACTGGTACAATTTCGTCATTGAAATAACCAGCTGCTTGAGCAGCTGCCGCACGTTGATGAGAGACAAGAGAGAATGCGTCTTGCTGAGCACGAGTGATGCCATATTCGCGTGCCACATTCTCTGAAGTTTGACCCATTGGAAGAAGGCAATCAGCTGATTCAGGATTAGAGAATACACGTTCTGACGTTTCGCTTGGCATTGCGCCCGCTCCGTAACCGAAAGTCATGCTTTCGACTCCAGCACCTGATAATTATAACACAAAGAATTATTTTTATGAATGGATTGACATAGCGATTTGAATGATACTTATTAGAATCACTATTCAAATTACAGCAACAATTCGCTCCTCCCTTTTTCACTCACCGATTCCGATCTCAATCTGGTCCAGAGCAATTTCATGAGCAATCTGTACGACAGCTTGCAATCCACTTGAGCACTGTCTGTTGACAGTGTTTAATGCCGCGGTGTGTGGTATTCCCGCATACAAGGCAGCAGCCCTAGCTACTGTTGCACCACCACCAGCGGGCAATACATTTCCTACGGCAATATCCTCAATCAATTTTGGATCGATGTGGACCCTGTCTATTACCCCCTTGAAGGCAGCTGCAAGAAGGTCTTCGGGTAGAGTATCCTTGAACCCACCCTTCTTGGATCTTGTCATGGGAGTGCGAACGGCTGCAACAATGACGACATCGTCGGGGGATTTATGTGTCAGGGCAGTTTTAGGATCTTTGGAAAAGTGAGAAACAATCTGAGCTACTCTGGACGATGCCATTTTTTAGTTCGTTATTATGGGAATAAAATTTAGGGGGTGATATGAAGTGGCAATTCGTATGGAGAAGGTGATGTGGGAGATTTATTTATATTGTTTCTGGAATTGATTGGCAACCACTAGAATTTGCATTTAATCACGTGATTATAATGCCGGTTACGGATAATTACAATTTCCGTTATAGTATTAGGTCAGATTATGATAATAATAATTCGGATCTTTGCGGAGAATAACGGGTCAATACACTCACTACTACCAAAAAAGTATTGACCAAAATTCGCCGATCACCGTAATAATTCAGCCGCGCCGCGTTAAAATTTATATCAATGATACAGAAAAGCCAGCTCTATTCGCTGGTTTATTTAACACCTGGTTGGCATTCAAAACAACTCGCTATCTACAAGTTTTACGAGTATATCTGGGTCAATCTTAAACCATTCTTCTTTTAGAGTTCTTGCTTAGTTTTTGGCATACTTTGTCTTTTACGAAGTTTTCTTTCTAATTCATTCCATAAATGACTTTGCGGCGGCCATGTAAGCGACAGTATATTATTGTCTTCTTTAAAATGCTTTACCGCGGCTATACGATGAACGGTAACATTATCATCTTGAAATATCCATATTTGCGAAGAATCTAGACTCGCTATGAATAGTTCTTGTTGATATACTCTCCCGGCAACTCTTCCCTCAAGCATGACTAAAAACCGATCCTTTCCCTTGTGAAACAATCCCAAGAGCGTTTGACTGTCAGGTATTAAACAATCAACTTAGTATTTCTCACTTGGTTTTCTCCACACCCACTTGTGCGAATCATTATGAAAGAACATATCTCGACTCGTCGCTAAATACTATGTTATTCCGTTCACTAGTAAAGCTTTTTGAAAATTTAGCAAACTATAGACGTCTTTTTCTATTCTGTTCTGAGACCAAAGGCTTTCTCTTTCCCGAACGTGCATAGTAACCTGAGTCATGCAATGTCGTGAAAATCAACCGCGGTTCCCTCTAACTGGTACGAAGGTCTCTCTCGGACAAAACCTTCGGCCTTCCACTGTTAGTAACTTTTACTTTCACACCGCACTTTCAAGCTCCCACTATTTCAGCACGTTCGACAATCGATAGCTCTCTATTTTTATCATTTTCTTGCCGACGAACATATTTAAACTTGCCGCTAGTTGTATCGTTCACAAATACCAATTGAAATGGGGTCCCGTTCATTTCACCGACAATCCAGCAATCATTAGGCATATTTTACCGACAGAAACTACCAAAAAGGATAATGTTGGGGAAATTTGTCGGTTGAACGGATTTCAGGTGATCAGTAACAGTGGGTTTGTTATGTGCTAAGCCTAAAAGTTATCCTAGTGAATTCGTCCTGTGCTTTTCTTCTGGCTTTGAGATGCCAAAATTGACTTCTGGATTCAAGCTAAAGTATTACTGATTTGTCATAAGCTATATTTATTTATTACGCAGTAATGGGGCAGACTGCAACAACATTTGGTTTCTTCTAATCACAAGCAAAACATTTGCATTATTATTATCCAAAGAGCTTTTATTCAATAAAAATAAAAAATGGGTTCATTAGATTGAATCCTGACAAGAGTCTACTATTACATGCAGACAAACATTCTAATTAATTTCCATTCACAAACATGGTTTACAAAGTTGCTTTGCTCTTCTTTGCTTGGTTGTTCGCCAACAAGATCAACTCACATGCAATTTATTAATAGGCCCTTATTCATGGTAGTTTATGGTACATCTTTTTTTTAATATATCATGATTTGCACAATACATCCATAAAATAATTAAGTGTCAACCACATGACATGCTAAAAAAAACACTTGTAAAACCAAGACTATAATATTTGTGAAGTAATATGACTTTCCTAGTAAATGTTAAATGCTTGTGTGATGGCACATTGAGCAAAGTAGAAGTCCGTGAGGAAGATTTTGAGGGATTTGGGTAGGAAACTTCAACTCATGATAAAGGATATGTTAATGATCCATTGACCTTGATTAATATTGTTGCAGTTCCCATGCCATCTTGAGTTCCTAATAATAACACAATTGTGTGCGCGACCAGGACCTAGCCAATATTTCAAAGCTTCTTCGACATGAACTAATGTTTCAGTATAGGCCACTTCCACAACAAATTTGGCCAAGGAAAATCCTAAATAAAAAGGGTGTGAAATTACTAGCTTTAAAAAGTTTAAAACAACAAAAATTACATTTCCATCACTCCCATTTGTGCAGTTACAGCTGGTTTTTCCGGACGAAACGATGCATCAGCTTTCCTTCCACGGTTTATTTCACGCGTTCCTTAATATTAAGAATAAAGATTAACATGGTGCCACAAAAAGAACAATATATAATAATATTAATATCAGCACCAAAACTTATAATCTCTGAGTTAGTTCCATCAGCATTATATTTCCAATATTGTAATTTATGCCTGCCAGCCAGCATAACCACATGAACCACGTTTCCAAAGTATGGGCATCCTTGAACTTTTCGTTCTTCATAAGTACTAAATTATGACAAAAAGTTGATATTTCTCGCTTTTTACGCTTTACGGGAAAGCGCAAATACGCAAGAATAATAGTCTAGACGAGTTATCGTAGTAGTAACGTTAATTGAGTCTGATTGGACGCCGTAAATAACGGCATTTATTTAGATCGTAATCATCATGTTATTAATAAACTTACGTCAGTAGATTATATCTTTCTACAGGTTTATACTATTGTGTCCACTCTAGCAGTAACTCATTCGTAATATTATACAATTACGACAGTGTAAAAGACTTAATATTTAGTGTCAAAAATTGGGGGGCCTGCAGTTAAGCAATGGAAGACTTGTAACCTCATAATGGTAATACATATTTGTATGAAATATTGCTTATTTGGTGACAGACGTCATATGTATTTTTGAGAAACGAAACCGAGATCTGTAAGGTAGCTAATCCATGCGTATATCACGAGTACATGCATATTAATATGTCTGACGTTTTGACCAGTCAATGTGATATGCTAGATTATGATAGACATGATAAATGTAGTTATTTCACGGTACCCTCGAGTGTAATCATTCTCTCATCAAACAAGCTTTTTTATGTACAATTTCTCTCATTATCTTGCTACCTGATGACATTAAAAGATAGTAACTATTCTTTGTAAAGCCATTAACCAGATTTGATTTGTGCAATTGGTTTCATCGTCTTCACTGTGAAAGTTTCTTTTTTGGGTGAGGGATATTAAAATTAGCGCGCTTAATTTACAAAATTTAATAAACAGTTTTTTTTTGAAAGGAATACATGTAATTTGCAATAATACATCAAAAGCAATTTTTTTATTCTTATAACGGCCTCGTAGGTTGTGCTTAGCAATTGTTGACAATGATACTGTTTCAAAGTTTTGACCATACCTTAACTTAAATTTTTACTTCTTGTTGACTCTCTAATGTTTTTATCGGTTTTCGTACCAAACAGCTTTACCATTTTGACGGTTTAAACTAGCCCGCTTACTAATTTTGATGATTGCCCATAGTACTGTTCAAGTGAGTACTATTAATTAAAACCAAAATCTATTTACGCGTGACTGTTGACGTGCAACAAGTTGAAAATTTTCGTTGCTTATTTTGTGGTCGCTCTGGTTTCGTATACCTCGTATAATTACAAGTTTGAAACATGAATACAGTCGAGGCGGAATAAAAAACATTGTCATGTTATTTAACTAAAACGTTTGGTGTTTTTAGGACCTGCTTCTAATTCAGAACAGGAATAATCAAACGCTTTGAATTTCCGTGCATACAATGTAAAACAAACCCCTAATAATGTGTAAAATTTCAGATCGATCGGATGCCTACAGAAAATTTTACAAAAATCTATTATTACTATCTAAATATATAAAAACATATTAATATGAAACCGTATGCCGCGTACTATTTTTAGAGACATGAACTTTAAAAATCCATATCACCAGATGTTTTTAATCGATTTGCTTGTGTTGTTTGCTAGATGTTACATTCTCTATTACTATGTTTCTTGGAATATCTGTCAAATTAGGAGGAAACTGTTACTATATTTGGGGGTCGTCTAAAGCGGGGGCAACACAAGAAATCAGTCCAATTAAATTTCAAAGATTGGCGAAGTTAACCAATCTAATTACAAGATCACGTGTAACATATAAAATTCAAAACAAGCCAAAAAGAAGAAAATTCAAAATTTTGCTATGATAACTAGCCTTTGACTTCTAAGTAAAAATGTCCAGCATAAAATTTTACTCATATATATTAAATGTCAATAACTTAATATTAATTAAAAAATTGTTATTAATTTGATGATTTCATGTATTTGCCCCCGCTTTAGCCATCCCCTATATTTGGCAATGAACGTGCATGATATCATCGTGTCACATAATTATTTGCGCAATTTTTAGTAGCCATTACGCAGTAATTCGTTCAACAATTATTTAAATGCATGCTGATAGTTTATAAAAAGAAAGATTACAGAATTCGGTTGGAAAGGGTCGAGATTCTCGATAAGTCGAATTTGGCTTAACTCGGACAAAATTTTCCGCCTCTTTTTTTTTTTAAAAAAAATTTTTTTTTGACATATAAAATCGCGATAAACCCGTAAATCTGACAGCCTTTCACGGGTTATTATTATAATAAATAGTCTGCATACAATTTTGATTTATGTGATATGGTAGTGTAATCGTTTTTTGACTTTATCATAATAAAAAGCCTAATAGTAACTGTAAAAACATAAAGCGACCCGTCATGTGGACTGATAACTTGACATGCGCATTACGACATCCCCGACGAATAGGAGTTGCATGCAAATTGCACATATATTTCGCATTAAAAGTCGATTTTAGATGTTTGTATTAAAAGTGTTATTCCGAGTTTGACTTACTTAATGAAGAAACTACCAGATTTATGGCCCACCCACTCACTTACGTTTGTGTCCAGAAAATATTCTCCTTGTTTGAATTTTACAGATAAGAAACCGCTTATCTTTTTCTTTTAAATATTTATTATTATGAGAAAAAAAAATTCGAACATGCCAGTCGCGAAATAGGAAGAGAAGCAATTGTAAAATAAAATAGCAAAAAAAATTATTATTTAAAAGTGATCATATATATTCCAGACTATATACCCGAGTTTGACATTTATTTTTGAATGTCATGTCTCACTATCATATTAATAAAATATCATTCGAAATGGATTCTTTTGGCAATCATCATTTCGCATAGTAATAGGATGTATGCCATCAAGTCATTTTATTGATTTGCAATTAGCGTAATGACGAAATGCAGTGCGTAATTCTGGCGAAAATCTGGGGAATGTTTTCTCCTGCAAAATTTACAAGTGATATAAAAACAGTTCAGTATCTTTTTTTTCAAATATTATTATCCAGAGAGAAAAGGAATGGGTATGTTGAACTTTGAACAAATAAATGAGCAACCGCTCAAGATACCTAGAGAAAAAGCAGTACTCCTTCACTTGATAACTTCTCTCTCGTTCAATTTTATTCACGCTTAGTGTAAATATATACATCTGGTATAGATTTTCAAATAATTGCTGTCAACAGTTAATACTACTAAAAATATTGATATATTTCGCTCAAAACGGTACCGCAATATCAATATTATTGATTGTTAGACATAAATTAAGCAAACAAAGTGTTATAGTTAAAAGCAACTATTATAAATACGCACGTAAAAAATATTGTATATACCATATTAAACGTTCTAACCCCTCAAATAGGCACCTTGTCTAAATATCACACATTCGATGTTTTGTGCCACCGAACAGAAATCACTGAGAAATACGTCATCTGAAAAAGAGTTAATCCAACTTGTGAAATTTTGAAACATGAAGTTATTAAATACCAAAAAAGATTGATATGCCAGAGACAAACTCAAAGTTGGCCAGTGACCCGACATCTTTATCGTTCAAAAAATTACTAGTTGCATATGTGGTGACCGATCAATACAGCAAACTCACCTTTACCCTTTACATCATCAGTATGTCATCCAATAACCTTAGGTGAGCTGTAACGCATCACGTTATGCAGAGGAGATTACGCGTGAGGACGCGGTAGTAAATGCAAATTTAATCAGTAAAAGGTGGTTTGACTTCTTTCCTGTTATCGTAAACATCCAAAAACAACAAATGTCATATTATACCAGTTCGTCAAATACTAGCTCTAACATTATTAGCTCAATACAAACACGGTCAAGTTCTGCGTAAGTAGATATGTGCAATCATCATTACTCTTTGTTTTTTCGCTAATCCAGAGATGGTCTTAGGAGTAGTGATGTGGTTTCAGAACAAACGTCAGACTGTTTCTTTTATCGAAACTTGTGGTGGGACAAGGGAGAATTTAGCGAAAAAGCAAAGTGGGAAGAAGCAACGTAAGTTTCTTTTCCTACTTGTTTGATGTTGACATTTGTTTTAGTTGGTGACTGATATAAATTGTTATTAAATATATAAGATTACCTTATGTGCTTGCTAAGGGGATCGATATCGAGGATTATGAAAGACGTGCAGAAATATTTAGCGTACACAGATGTTGGGAATGGTCGAATGGAGAAGTAATAATTTATGAACTTCCCTCTTTGCCACACGAAGTTTGCATCAGTGCAATTGTTGAAGAAATAATGGATGCTTGTAGAAATGTTAAACGGACACCTGCTCAGATTTATGGTACTGGTTCTACTAGTAAGTATTAATGTCATAACATATTCTTTGTTTGTAGCATTGTATTAATTTTCATTTCTTAAAGCAACACGTGACAGGAACCGTGGGAAAGAAGCTGATGCATCGTTTCGTCCAGAAAAACCAGCTGTAACAGCACCAAATGGGAGCGACGGAAATGTAATTTTCTAGTCTTTCTATTTGTTTTGAACTTTTTGAAATTTGTAATTTCATATATCTCTTTTATTTAGGATCTTCCTTGGCCAAATTTGGTCATAGAAGTAGCCTATTCTGAAACATTAGATCATGTTAGCAAAGCTTTAAAATATTGGCTAACTCCTGGTCGTGCCCATGATTGCATTGTCGTAAAAATCGATCTAGTTCCCCAAAACCAAGTACCGGTCCGTATGAGGGTAAGCTATATTAATACAGTGTAGTTATCATTATTTGTATAAGTATTCTGAAGGTTTTAATTTATCGTAGGCTTGGCACTTCTGTGCATCAGATAGAAGCACGAGCAGATTTCGGTATAGAAATATGGTAACGTTAAATTATAGTGATCGCCTTTCTGTTGGCATATTTAAAATCTCTAATATATGTATGATGATTATTAGTTTGAATTCGGTACACAGGATGGCACAGGAGCTCCATTAAATATTGTGCAAGGTCAATGCATTATTAACATATCATTAAGATGTCTTTACCATGATTTGAATCCTACTGTCCAAATACCTCAAGATCTTCCTGACCCCATTCCACTGGACTTTTTCTTTGTCCAACGCGCCATCACAAATGCATTTGATATTCATTAGTATTAGGACTACTTCACACCCTTTTACTCGACGAACAGTCGAACCCTGATATTGTAGCTTTTTATTTTGTTTAACAAAAAATTTTCCATATTAGTATTATGCTGGTCAATTCTGTTTGGTTTTATTTTTTAATTGCTAGGTGTTTTTTTTATCAATATGTATTTGCTATGCCAGATTTCAGAATTTTTACACGTTTGGTGTAGTAGTAGTGTAATTTCCACGACTATTATTACATTAAACTATACGATAAGTTACCAGGGAATGAATCATTAACAGTGCATTTCAGAGTGTAAAGGACTACTCATTCATTAAATGGGGATATAATAATAATAAATTGCTGCTTTACAACTAATTTTGTGACCAGCCTTGAAATACGGTAGTTTCATATTGTCTATATCATCATAGTAAATATAAAACGTTTATCTCAACCAAGTTTACAATTAATTGTTTCATTTTGTCTGGGTTTGTTGCAGTACCACTATCAAAACCACCACTACAAGAGCAAAAATTACTGCCGCAAACTAGTTATCATCCAATTCACCACAGCAATCCACTTTAATGAACGACAACCAAACCACTTATCAACTTACTCACAACACGCGGTCGTCCATCTGCCAGTTCGTCCTCGAGGTATAAACATATCGATATACTTTCGTACCGTTGCCCGTATGCATGAAACAAGCAATATTGAGGATAATACTTGTCCCATTGACGGATCACAAAGAATGGCAATTCGTTAAAATGGGAGGCACCCCAATAAATAGGCACGTTTACAAGCAGCATGTTGTAACGATAATTCGCCAGAAATGTGACAAGCATTGGGACAAACTACAAACATAACGCGTTATTTAGCTCCGAGTTAAATCATGGCTAAATCGTTAAAAATGCCAATAGCAATAAGATCAACACTAATACTAATACTGAAATATTTATCCGATAAAATCAATCATCAAAAAATGTGTGAGCCCGTATATTAATATGGAAAATTATAATTCAACGTTCAATCGGATATGAAAAAGCAATACGTTTTCTAGATATAGGTTGTAATTGTGGTTGCTCAAAAAAAAAAATTCCAAGAAAAAAGTTAGTCGAATTACGTGAGACGTGTCAAGGTCTGAACGAGACATATTTTTAATGGCCCACTGAAAGCAATGAATAACGGAAAAATAATTGCCAATCGATGTTTAAAAAAAACGCGTATTAATAAGAGAATATTTTGCTATTGAAGTCGTACTACGCCTCTTTGTCAGAAACGTATCTCGATATGTTAGAGATTGGCCGTCCCAAATACAGTATTGATATTAGACGTACGGAATGTCACGGTCTTAGTTCTTAACGTTAAGGAGCACTGTACTTATTACAAAGGCGTCTTATGTCGATATAGTAGTTAGCGTATACGTCCCGAGCTTTATTCTTTCAGTTCTTAGAACTAATGTTAGTAATTTCGAATTTACGAAACTAAGCAAAATGCACATATAGTTAAAGCAAATTCTATCGTTGTCTAGAAATGCCTCTTGCTCAGACTCGAAAATAATTATATCCTATCTTATATCGTAGCTCGAAATATGCCAGAGAACGGATTGTTTACGAATACAGAAAACGTAATGTCAATAAAAAACGTCCTCTCCTATACTCTGTCAAGACTAGTGCGTTCCCAAAAAAGTGTCAGACCCGAACACGTATAGAGAGCAAAATAATGTGTTTATTTATGTTTTATTTGTGCAGATTATTTTATTCTAACAAGAATAATAATAATAATAAAAAGACGCAAGGCAGAAATTAATTATCTCATCTAAGGAGATTTTCTGCAAAATGGTTTGATAAAGTATCGCCGTCATGACTTCAAGTTCAGAATAACACTATTCACTTTGTTGGTAATAAATAGTATGCCAGGACTACATCGAAGATCGAGATGAAGCACTCGACCGTGCATGCTAAGTGACCGAAACAAGATTCTATTCGAGAAGACTTTGGAGACATCGTGAATACTAGCTGAAATTTTATCCAATCATACGTTTTCTACTTGCTGTCTGTCGACTATAGCGTGGAAATAGTAAATAGGGCTTTGTTTATATAACTAAATTCTTACTGCGGAATAACTATTTAAAACCTAACTGGTCCGTCATTATGCATACATTACATTTGCATATACATTGAATTTGCTGTATGAATAATGTGACACAACTTTATAATTTATCTCCGGTTGACGTGATGTGGGGTGTTCTTATAATGGTGTCTGACAACATGCTGACCCAAATAACCCAGATATCAATCGAATTGATGATTCGTGGCGAATCATAAGATTGATTATATATATTGGTTCGGAAAGAATTGAAAAAACCCCTATTTTGATTTGTCACTAAATGCTTTATGAAAAAATAGTAACGAAGCTTGAACAATAGAATTCTTGATAACAGACTCGTCTTAATAAAAGGTTAGTCTTTGAAAATCTTGATAGCGTGACGTGAACGCTGAATAGAAAGTACATCAACAAAGTAGAATTTAAATGGTACAGTCAGGTGACCGAATTTATGTCTTGTTACACTAATTAAGCTAAAAAAAGAATACATAAACATCACGTTGGTTGTGACACTTGGTAATTATATGACTTTCGCTTTTTGGCGTCAGAATTAGCAAACCACTCACGGCTTTTATGCAAGCAGTCAGATGATCAACCAATCATACATCTACTATTATGCTTATGTGGCATTCGAATATCCGAAATTCTTTTGTGAAACATTGCCCGGACTCATACCTACATATATACATAGACTTATCTATGGATTTATTAAGAACCAATAAGCGACTCAATCAGGTTCTTAATCCAGTAAAGTGCCTATTTGGAGACAGATTAGTAATTGGGAGGGAGATACAGGTAACCGTAATCTTGATTTACGAGGACCTGTCTGCTTACCACAAAACTACTTATAAGGGAAATACCCAACAATATCGACCTTCAACACCATTGTCTGAAAAGTTTTCCCTCGGCAACAAGTATTTTGCCTCTCTTTTTGCTCTATTCTCGATATCATAATAATAAACCCAGTTCATTTTTACCGCTCAAACATTTATCTCTTGTCTATTATGCTACTGAACATGTTCGTTGACAGCATATGCGAGAAGTAGCATATATGCTTGGATGGAATCGAATATGCGCCGCTTTCATCTTTACAAATGTTCCCAGTCGAACGAAATTCTCTCAAAGACGCTCAAACAAGTAGCATTTATTGATGTCTACGAAGATGCAAATAAAGTGTATATCCATGGTCCGACTACTCGCTACGTTTGATTAATGCTATACAAACTTGTATCTCTGCGTACAATGCTGCATTTGGCGCTGCATGTCTCCAAAAAGAAGGTGTGGACAGAAACCAAAAGGAGCAAAAGGCGGTTCGCAGACTACACTTGCGCTATAACAGTTAGTATTTGGTCTTATATCTATTGTACAACGTTGTTGACCGCACGAGATGCATAAAGATAACTCCTCCCCCCCATCGCACGTCCTAATAACTCTCAGGAGCGAAGATTTCTTTCAGATAGCGCCAGATAATAATCAGATTCACACGAGAACGCCATTTTCATTGCCCTACAAATGAACAATAACATCGATTGAATAGCATCTCGTCATATAGGCCAGTTTTTTCAACTACAATACCAGACTTTTGGTTATATACCCATCCCCTCAAATGTACCACAAAAAACCCACACGAAATAATGCGTGGAATACGTCATCCATATACAGTTAGCATTCACCTGTATTACAGACCACGGCATTCTTCATCCCCCTTGCTTTATTTATCGATTCCACAGATGTCTCTCCCCCCCCTTTTCACTACCAAAAAAACAGCCGGGTCATTTCTTCGTTCAAAGTCAAAGTATACAAAATAAATGGTAATGTCTCCAACAGCACAGCTATCTGAATACTCTATCTCCCAGAATAAACTCACTAGTTTGTCTGAACCCACCGGTTATCTTCATGGACCGCAGCAGCGAGAACAACTGCACCACTATCAACAAGAACAACAGCCACCACCACAAGAGCAAAAACCACTGCCGCAAACTAATTATCATCTGAGTCAACCACAGCAATCCACATCAATGAACAACAACCAAACCACTTACCAACTTTCTCACACAACACACGATCGTCCATCTGCCAGTTCGTCCTTCAACATTCTTTCCGTCTTAAATCCAGAACCATCGCCACCCTCGGGTCTTGGTCCAGCCCCAACAGACCACATCACAAGAACCCTACCTTCCCCTAGACAACAAGAACCACCCACACGAACGATACTACCTCCACCGTCCGCGATCACCCAACCTCAGTACTATGATCCCGTAAGATATAGCACGAGTACTCTGCAAGGCCATGGGCAGAGTCAGAGCAATTCAACCGGTTTTACATTACTGCCTCCGCCATTTCCGCTGGCTTCTTATCCGACTTCTCCAACACAATCATATTCTTCCAATTCTCATAATAGTTCCAATACACAGCCGGGGTACGGATATCCATATACTTACCGCTCGCCAGGCTTTAATACCCAGACACCTGCAAGTTTCAACACTACACTAGCTCCCATTTCGCAAATTTCACCACCTGTAACTTCCCCCTTGTCAATGGCACCTCCGCGTCCAGAGATTGTAAACTCATGTAACTTGTCGCCGTCGACAGCACAAGTTACGAGTCCAACCTCGGCGCAACATCAGTATTCCGCTCTAAATGGTTCTGTGGCAGACGACGCTAACACACTACTCAAGTTTGCCAACAGCAATAAAATGGATATAGACGAGAAAACGACGTATAATAGATCAAACGCACAAGATATACCGCCATATTCTGTACAGACAAATGTAACGGAAAGACAAGTAACCAACGAATACGAAAACTCTCGGCTCGCCCAGCTTCTCGACACTGCTCTTGAGCAAGAACGAAGAGAGCGTGAGTTGGCCGACGAGGAGAATAGAATGATACATAGAGAGCGCGAAGAACCGAGAGAGTCGGATCCGTCTATCAAAGGCGAGCATTCGAGAGAGGAGAGTGTAGTAGGTAGTCCGAGTGTTGAAGAAGAATTGGATATTGTCCAAGACGATCAGGAGGTTGTTGTGGACGTAACTCCTCCGAGGGAATTAGTCGAAAATAATACAGTAAACTCTTTGGCGCGGTCAGTCAACCAGTTCGGTAAGCATTACGACTACGACGAGCCGTTGAACGATTACGAGGATACAGTAGAAGTTAGTACCGATGAAGTTATGATTTTTATGCCGAAGAGCGAAGGATACGAAAACGGAAAACAAGTCGAAGCAATGAGCCAAGATGATGTAAACAAGAACGTGAAGCTAGAAGAAACTTCACCAGAACCATCTTCATCCGGAGACGAGTTCCACAAATCACCATCCTCCTCTCGTCGCTCAAGCATCTCAAAAACCGTCCTCAAAAAAACTTCCATCAAAAAACCTAGCGTACGTCATCTTTCAGCTAAGAAATCGCTGAAACGCAAATCGTCATCTTCAAACTTGCATTCTCCATCCGGTGACGATAATGCTTTGCGCATTGACCCCATTTCTGGCTCTCCTTCTCTATCCAATACTCCTAACAGCAACAAGAAACTTAAAAAGGCTAATAAGCAGCGGCGCAAGAATTCCCAGAGTTCGAGTGTAACTGCATCACCGATGATCGATCCGATCGCCGGTAACTCTGCAGGAGCGGAACCGATGGCGGTCGATGAGACGCAGATCAGCAACAAGTTGTATTGTATATGTAGGTCGGGCTTTGACAACCGGTTCATGATTCAGTGTGATGGATGCAATGAGTGGTATCACGGTGACTGCGTTAAGATATCGGAAGATATATCGCAGTTAATCGACAAGTACTATTGCCCGGGCTGTACAGGTAAGAAAGTTTTGGATGACAATTTATGACAAGTGACTTTCTTTAGTAACTGTCTAACCTTTCCTCTTAACACTTTTTATGATCTCGTCATACTCAGCCAAAGGTAATACTTCTTCTTGGAAACAAAAATGCCGAAATCCACCATGCAACAAACCAGCTCGCATTCCGTCATCCAGATACTGCTCTCAAGGTTGTGGGTTAGCATTGGCACAGGCACGTCTGCGTGAGAACGAAAAGCGTGCCAAACTCATGCTTTATCTGCAAAAACCTCAAACTCCCCTCAAACCATCTACACCGAACTCTGACAAGTCAACTCCCTCATCCAACAAACGCTGCACACGAAACCTAGCAGCCGATTTGGACGATCGTTCTCACTGGAAAAAGGTTCAGGAAGAATGGGATCGTGTTACGAAATTTTCCGAGGTTATTGAGCGACGAGAACAGATCTTAAGAAAAGCCATAAAACGATGTGAGTCGGAAGGGAAGAATGGATACACACCGTGTGGATTTGATAGTCGTTTGCTCCTCAATGACAAAGAAGTGATGGAACTTGGTGATGCGACCGATGAGAACGTTAACATTTGCAAGGAGAAGGGAAGCTGCGAAAAGCATCCATTGTGGCAAAGTGTTAAACTTGTAGAAATTGAGCAGGAGAAGGCTTTACAGGTATGGATACCTTTTTAGCATTGTTGAGTTTTATGTAATAAGGATAATGACATTGGGATCGTTGTAACAATCATTATACCGCAATTTATGAACAATGTTCTAATCTTATTTTTTTTTGTTTCGATTCACAGTCAGCGCGATTAGAAAAGCTGCGTGCTGAAAAAAAGCAAATTGGTAGCCGTATGAAGAGGCGCAAAACTGATTGGGAATCCGCGTTATTGAATGGTACAATAAATCACTCTGCCCGCTCTCGTATGGCCATTTTAGTTAATAAGGCTGATGACGACGACAAACTCACCATCGAAGAGACAAAAAATTCATTCGTGGATATTGAAGCATAGGAACGGGGGTCACTTAGACGTCAGTAATAGACTCGCTTTGTAGTAAGTTGCTGTTAGCAGATGAGTTAATTGTTAGTTTGCTTTGGTGTTTTGCACTTATAATGAAAATTCACATAATCGCTCAATGACAGTAAAGGACATTGCATATTCTTTTTCCGTTAGTATATTTGAAAATAGTATCTTTGTACAGTTTTAGTTTAATTCTATTAAAACAATATATTTCAATTGATGTCTGATGCTGTGCACAGTCTAATCATTTGGTAGAGGATTTCTCATGCAGACCTCTTCTTATACTTTGTAATTAGTTTGTATAGATTTTATTTAAAAGCTTGGTAATAAAATAAACTCCTAAATAGAGTTGTGAGAATCAGACAATGCTGACCATTGGAATTTTTTGATATTTACATTCGAGTTTTTAGGCATGTATTATAATATTTTCTTTTAACAAGTTGTGTCAACTTGGAAAAACCTATCTTTTTGATTTCCATGCGTCAGCATTTCCCTTTTATTTCAAAAATACACCATATCGTTCAGATTTTTGTTTTCAGCTTGTGGTGCATCATTAAATATGTTGACACTACTTGGCTGGATATCATATAACGCTAGGAAACTCTCGAGATCCGACGATTCAGGCTTCATCTCATACGCGACCGACCCAATGGCCTCAACTTTGGGTGGTTTGTTAAAAATTTGTCTGGTAACTCTGACTTCATCGAGATAATTGTCAGGGAAATCGAATCGAGAACTACAATTATCAACTATATTTTCGATAGTTTCATATTGTCTAATCAACTTTAAAGCAGTGACTGGCCCAATTTTTTCAACTTTGCCTCCGAAATCGGTTCCGCACATTATACATAAATCGAGAAAGGCCTCTTTGGATAATTCCAATTCCTCTCTTGCCTTTACGGAAGAGTATTCCAACATGGGTTGATTTTTCCATTGAAGCTGTCGTATGACGACGCCTTCTCCGAACAGAGCAGCATCCATGTCTTCGGTGACTGTCGCATCAGCTATCCCGTGCGTTGTCAAAGATGCACACATGGCTTCTGCTTCATGATCGTGACACGTCAGACAGGGCACGCCTGATTTCCGGAGAAAAGCTTTGGCTTCTTCAATCATGTTTCTTGTTACTGGGGCTACTGCTTTTTCTAGGCGGGTAACGTAGTAATCTGTCTCTGATGTTACGTCTAATAACGTAGAACGTAGGTCTGATAGTTCGATAGTTCGTTTATAGGTTGATATAATGTCTTCTAATGTTTCTAGATCTAATGTTTCTTCTTCTTCTATTGTTTTTGTCTCTAATGCTATGTCTGGGAGTTCTGTAGAGGTGGGCGGTTCTGGTATTGAAGTGGGCGGTTCTGGTATTGAGGTGGGTGGTTCTGGTATCAAAGTGGATGCTGCTGAGTCCACTAAGGGTATCGGTTGAGATAATTCGACCACCTCCGGTGAATCTGGTGTTCTGATCTGGTCAGACACGACTGCTGACGAAGGTTCGGCTTGCTTTTGATCCGCATGCTCGAGCGCATCCCGATCTAATGTTTCCTCTTCTTCCAATGCTTTTGTCTCTAATGATACACCTGGGAGTTCTGCAGACGTAAGCTGTTCTGGTATTGAGGTGGGCGGTTCTGTTATTGAGGTGGGTGGTTCTGGTATCAAAGTGGACGCTGTCGAGTCCGCTAAGGGTGACGGTTGAGATAATTCGACCACCTCCGGTGAATCTGGTGTTCTGATCTGGTCAGACGCGACTGGTGACGAAGGTTCAGCTGGCTTTTGATCCGTATGCTCGAGCGCGTCCCGGTCTACTGTTTCCTCTTCTTCCAATGCTTTTGTCTCTAATGATACATCTGGGAGTTCTGCAGAGGTGGGCGGTTCTGGTATCGAAGTGGGTGCTGCTGAGTCCACTAAGGGTATCTGTTGAGATAATTCGACCACCTCCGGTGAATCTGGTGTTCTGATCTGGTCAGACACGACTGGTGACGAAGGTTCAGCTGGCTTTTGATCAGTATGCTCGAGCGCGTCCCGGTCTACCGTTTCCTCTTCTTCTGATGTTTTTGTCTCTAATGCTATGTCTGGGAGTTCTGTAGAGGCGGGCGGTTCTGGTATCGAAGTGGGTGCTGTTGAGTCCGCTAAGGGTGACGGTTGAGATAATTCGACCATCTCCGGTGCCTCTGGTGTACTGATCTGGTCGGACATGACTGATGACAAAGGTTCAGCTGGCTTTTGGTCGCGCGCATCCCGTAATGACGCCTCCATTGACAATTTGAGTTGCTGAGGAATATCTAGTATCTTATTCAAAAGCACATCATTTAACAGGTTCGCCTCCATCTGACCAAGTTTTTGCGCTCTAGAACGCGTTTTTGAGAATCTCAATTCCTTAGAATCCAAAAGAACACTCGTAACTAACTTTTCTACTCTGGTTCTGATTAATATATCGTCTATAGTTGGACTAAAGCGGGGATTGCGAAGCATGAACGTGGACATACCCTGCGCCTTACCTATTTTTAACGCAGTTTGCGTATCTAATCCTTCGTCTCCGACTATGTCAACCAAATCTTTAATACCCGCAGTCACATACTCTGAGCGTAATAGGTCCCTCTTACTTCTTATTTTTAACGACTCTGCAATCTGGTCCCACTCTTTCAGTCTCGTTTGTCGTTTATTCTCAGATCCCAATTGTACTTTTGTCTTTTCTATAACTGATCTCCTTCTCATACGTTCTTGCAATTTTTGCCTGATATTTGCATCCCCATCAAATATGAATATTGGCTTGATGTTGTAATATTTGAGAAAGGCAATTAATTGATAGAACCCAAGCACATGTGGGAAGGGATGGGAATTCTCTCCACGATCTGCTCCCTTGACGAAACGCTGGATAAAGAGCGTTCCATCAATTGCTAACGTTTTGTTTTGGAGGTCATTAATGGATATTGGTGTTAGGGAGGATGGAGCAAAGCGTCTTAAGAAAGGTGTGAGGCCTTTGATACCCATCCTCTTGTCAAGAAAGACAACAATACGTTTGATTGATTGGTGAATAATGATTCAAACCTCTACAAAAAGAATCAATGATTGCTTCATCTGAATGTTAAAAAGACGGTTAGATAATATTCGAGCGTATCGCAAATTAAAGTTTACAGTCAAAATTATTTATGGTGATCGGGATGTCGCAGTCACATGATGAATATTAGATAATAATAGTATCCATCAGTGAGTGTGAGGATCACAGTATTTTCTCCAAATAACAATCTAGCGATATTGCTTTTTTGCTTTATATATCAAATATTCAAAAGTCATCTGAAGTAAATACTTCGTCGGGATATTGCTCTTGGAAAGGCTTTTCAGGTGGGTCAGCTTAGACATCGTTTTAATACAGCTTCATTCCCTTTATGATAATCAGTATCTGAGAGTACAGTTTCATAGCATCATCCTTAACCATAGATACTATATCAGCCTCAGTCAAATTCTCTTCAGTCGCTAATGGTTTCTTCGACATTTTTTTTATTAGTTTTTTTTTTCTTTAAAATAACGCGCCTGTTATACTGTCAATATGGTAATTGTGCATGTTATCACGTTTATCCTATCAGGTTGCATAAAGCATATGAAATCTGTCTCACAGACAGAATGTGCATATATTAATCTACTATGAAATCGGTCGAAAGTGTGAGGCGGGGATAATATTTAACTGAGACGCGACAAAAGTAATTTCCGTGCACGAGTGAAACCTGTTTAACCGATAATTAGTATCTCGTAAATGTACATTTGTTTAAAAGTTTATTAATAAGCAGTATTAATTGTATTATGACCTGTCAATAATAAATACATAACACACAATTTCATTTTATAACGAAAACAGATGCCAGTTAATTTTACGTTAACAAGCAAAGCTGTAGAACGAACGCCTTCGTTGAAATAAATAATAAGGTTTGTGTTTGATCAAACTGATTAAACTAGTTGATACGTATATTAATATCAAAATAGTTTATTCGATAACAGTTGGCTGGTTTAAACGATTTGACCTGTCGCATTAGTCCTCGACTGTCAGAGCTTCATCTGTTTTGGCTACAATATTATATAGTTTTGTAAAACATATCATATAAAACTGTTAACGATTCTCTTGACAAGCAAAATTTGTTTTTGCGATTATTACACTTATCATTAGTGTTGGACAACATTACGTCAATTAAATTCTTGCCAAACGATATTCGTAATAAACAAGGAATAGGATGTTGTAGCGTTATTGTAGTATATGCTGCTGTCAAGATTATTGAAACAACACTGTATGTCTTTTTTACTTGCTCAGCCATTACTATTGCAATAATTTCAGAAAGAGACCATTACAAAAAATTTATTTCTGTAAAAATAGTTGTAGCGTTCAAATTCGGAACTTGCCCTAATTTCTCATTCCATATAGTATATAATATAATATAATAACCTGTCCATAACCTTTTTATTTAAACGTCACGATATATTCTCGGCCAAACGTAAACTTGGAACACTCTATGTCTCAACTGGCACGCTATGCATCGTGGTTCAGCTTAGTGTTCGTATAATAGTCAATAATATTCTACTCGCTTAGCAAATTTTATTGACGAGATACTATATTTTATAGATATTTCGCCCATGATTTATCCATTATATCCAATTAAAAATATTGGCTAAAATACATGGTCACATTCATAATATTCTATTAATTTATTTATAAAATTCAAAGTCCGTATCTGCTTTCTTTACATTGGATTTATATCCTTTTTCGAGATCTTTACTCAAAATCACGTAGCGATTCTTGCGAACTGCCTGCATTCCAGCTTCCTGACATATGGCATGGATCTCAGCTCCACTGAGTTTGTCAGGCCGAGAGACAACTATAGAAAGTTTCTTGTATTAGTACGTCATTATAATCATTAAGAAGAGGAACGAATAACTGGCATAGTCAAACTGCTGCAACATAACCCCACAAAGATTAACACGTAATGACTCACAATCTTCTAAATCAACTTCTTCAGAGAGATTCATCTTTGCTGTAATTGTGGAAAAGATTAATCTCTTCTGTCGTCGATCAGGAGTCGGAAATTCAATCTTTCGATCTAATCGACCAGGTCGAAGCAGCGCTGGATCCAAAGTGTCGGCGCGGTTTGTTGCCATAATAACCTTTAAGATTAAAATTAATTAACAAAAAGTGTTACTATAGTTAACTCTTTATCCCAATCTCAGATTTACGCATTTGTTGTCTCGATTCATAATTTCATCGTATCCCCACAATAATTCCCAATCAAATATTTTCATTGTCTTGGGAACCAACCTTGACATTAGACGTCTGGTCGAACCCGTCCATCTGATTCAATAACTCTAGCAAAATCCTCTGCACCTCTCTGTCGGCACCCGTTTGCGCATCAAATCGCTTCGTAGCAATAGCATCGATCTCGTCGATAAAAATAATTGATGGTGAATTTTCTCTAGCCAGCCTAAACACGTCTCGAACCATTCTCGGACCTTCTCCAAGATACTTTTGCACAAACTCGGATCCCACGACACGGATAAAGGAGGCAGTTGTATGATGAGCAACAGCTTTCACAAGCATAGTCTTGCCCGTTCCGGGTGGACCATAGAGAAGAACACCACGAGGAGGATCGATGCCAATTTGTCGATAAAGGTCAAAATGCGTCAACGGAAGCTCAACCGCTTCACGAATCTCCTGTTTTTGGATATCAAGACCACCAACATCTGCATACGTTACATCTGGTTTCTCGTCTGCACCCAGCATTGCGATACTGCTGTCTGCTTCGGGGGGTAAGACGTCGACAAGGGAATTCGAATGACGATGCAAAGCCACCGACGAAGACGGTTTTAGTAGCTCTCGATCGATAGTGCTCAGTATTCGTACGACATAATTCGATCCTGTCGTCGAGCCAACAATACCAGTATGCTGATCGATGGGTTCGAGAAACTGTCCGATAACCAGCGGAACGGATTGGATGCGTTTTACTTCCTCCTGAGCACGGATCAGCTCTCGCTTAAGGTTCTTTTGTTCATCCTTTATGTACTCTTCCTGCAATTCGAGAAATTCAAGATGGCGTTGGAGTTTTTTGAGTTTGGTGTATAAATCTTTTTCGCTTAATTCTTCGAGAATTTCTTTGGTTTCACGGAGAGTTGGGGCGGATTCCTATCAATAACGGAGAAAACGGGGGCGGGAAAGCATTAATGAGCGAGTGTGGTGCGTGCGTGGGATACAAATTTGTGGAGATAAAAGCCGTGGTTAATCAAACTTAAATTTTTTGTTTGGTGTCGGCATATCCGCATTCATTAAAAGCAAGCGTTACGGGAAATGTAGCAGTAGGGAGAATATTAATTGTAGTTGAACAAATATCTTGTAGGTTAGAATACCTCGGTCTTGACTATGATACCAATTTCCTCCATAACCGCAAATGCAATATAGGCAAACGCTGGGAGACGAGTATTCTTCAGCAAACTGTTAAATTATAAAGTGTGTTTGCGTCATCTCTACGACGTAAATTTTCAATGCTCTGTACAACCGCGCATCTCTTACCAAATTTGGTTCAAAACTACCCTTTGTCGCTGAGAATTCGAGTTGGAAAAATGGTTCGAAATAATATCATTGTTCGCATCTGTTTTGTGATATGCGTTGTATTTCTATCTGTGTACTTTCTATCCTCGCCTTCTAGGCAAGGAGTAGACCCAGGTGGTGAGAAAAACTATCCTACATCGGAGCAAGAGATTTCAAGACGCCGCCGGTTGGCAGAAAAGAAAGCTATTCAGGAGACGAAAAAGGTGCTGCAGACAACCTTCACGAATTCAGAAGGAATACCTGGAACGAACATAAAGACTAAGGCAGAAGCTGAGGCATTCCGTGAAAAATTAGACTGCATAACTTCAAGGGGTTTCTGGAAGTATGATAACACTCCAAGAGAGATTATTAAACACAAGCATGAAGCTAAATTCAGTAGATGTGATCGCGAGCGTGGCGATAATTCGGGTAGCGGTTGGAATGTACGAGAGGATGTGAAATACGTCTGGACTACACCGTCAGAATGTCCGATGCCCAAGCTTACGCGCACCGAAGTCTGTTCTCTTATTTCTGGGGTCAGTATGATGATAGTTGGCGATCTAGTGCATTGGCAGTTGCATGATTTGCTCCTCGACTATTTCCATGATGGACCCACTCAATGTTATGGAGAGCAGTTCTGTAAAAAGCATATCTTGTGTCATGACGATACTAGAAAACAATCATCGATGAAGTTTATGCGCAATGATCTTGTTTCTTCTGTTAGGAAGAATCCCGTATTGGAGGCTCATGGAAAGCCAAATGGGACGAACGTTGAGTTGACCTATATATTGCTCTCTGCTCACTATAATATGTTTATAATCAATAGAGGGCATCATTACCAGGATGACGCGACGTTTAGGTCTGGACTTGTTGCAACGCTCAAGGAGATCAGAAATCGTAGTCCTAATGCAATTATTATTTATAAAGCAACTACAATTGGTCATCTAGGATGCAATGAAGCGGAAAAGCCATTGGATAAGCTGCCAACGGATGCCGAGTTGGAGTCGTTACCGTATCATTGGGGAGACATTCATAAACAAAATCTGATCGCCAAGGAGATTGTTAATGCAGCGGGTGGGATATTCATGGATGTCGAGACGATGATGGCATATAGGATAGATGGGCATATCGGAGGACAGGATTGTTTGCGATGGTGTATTCCTGGACCGGCTGATGTGTGGTTGGACTTGCTATTTTATATAGTGAAGGAAGTGAAGAGTTGAATGCTGCGTGAGAGAATACCTAATGTCAATGGTGACGATCAATTCTGTTGAAAGACTAATTTTAGTAGATATATAAGAATAGAGATTTGAATCATTAATGATATCCACACTACGTTATTTAGTAAACATTTAATATATAACACTGGATCGGATCAGTAGAACGTTGTATGAACGAACTGTGTTATTGCGCTGGTATGCGACCATTCTACTCACAAAATAGATATTCAGGGAAATAGGCATTACATATTGGTATGAAAGAATATATCAACGAGGTCACTATTTCTTCGACAAGTTACGCACATGACCGTATTATTGATAATGAAGCATATGTTCAAGTACGTGTTTCGTTCCCCAATCCTACAAAATTAAACCGTTAACCTTTTGTGGCGACTGATCGACCGTCTGCGTCACATAATTATAACAGTTTGCTGACTGAATGATGTATCGATCGTTAAATTAAGCGATAGAGGAAAGCTAGTGATCACAGGATAATAATGGAGTGCCGCCAAGAAATTGAGAATAGAATAAATTACTGCTTACGCTGTGTGAACTCGTCTCATGTCATGAAACAGAGGCTTGGCTTTTTTGAATCATCTTCGAAATGTAATTTATGACAAGGTCTATAATAAGTTTGGCTCTTGCTTGACAAGTGGACATTCATAAATATACTCGCAACAATAACGCTGTTATTGAAGTTGTAAACTTGATATTCTATTTAAGAGTCCAACAGTAAAAAATTTATTATACACTATTAACAATGCTTGCGCTTAAATTACTTTTACATATAGATACAGTTTCGCATTATCGCCGAATGAAAATTTTCGATAATGCTAAATGAGTGATTGAATACACTCATTTGATGTTATAATATCTGTCTAATATTTCTATTAAAAGTCCCATGTACAGTTACAATTTGGAAGTAATTAATTGCTGATGTCTCAGCTAGTTACAACATGTTATGGATGCCTCTCAATGTCCCTTTATCTAAACCTCGCCATGCTGTCAAGTTCAACGTCCAATGATTTTTCTACATCGTTGAAAGCATCATCGTCTTGCCAGAGAATAAGATAGACAGTTGCTCTTATACTTAATGCCCACGAATTATTTGGTTCAGTCTCTAACGATTTGTCCAAATCCTCTAATGCATCCTTATATTTCTCGAGATAATAATATACAGTTCCCCTTCCCCTCAATGTCCATGCATCACCTGGCTCAATATCCAACGAATCGTTGAAATCCTTCAACGCGTCGTTATATCGTTCAAGATTAAAATAGACCCCTCCACGTCTGCTCAATGTCCATGCATCGTTTGGTTTAATTTCCAATGATGTATTGAAATCATGTAATGCATTATCATATTGTTCAAGATTAAGATAGACTGTTCCCCTTCTGCTCAATGTCCATGCATTATTTGGTTCAATCGTTAATGATTGGTTAAAGTCGTTTAATGCTTCGTCATATCGTTTAAGATCAAGATAGACAGCTCCCCTTCCACTCCATGCATACGCATCGTTTGATTCAATAGCCAAAGATTTGTTAAAGTCATATAATGCGTTTGCATACTGTTTACGAATAATATAGACAGTTCCCCTTCTGCTCAATGTCCATGCATTATCCGGTTCGAGCACTAATGATTTACTGAAATCCTTCAACGCGTCATCATGCCGCCTAAGATCAAAATAGACAGCTCCTCTCGTACTCAATGCCCAAGCAATTGGTTCGATTTCCAACGATTTGTTGAGATCATTTAATGCGTTTTCATATTGCTTGTAATGACGATAGATAGTTCCCCTTCTGCTCAGCGTCCATGCATTATTTGGGTCAATCTCCAACGATGAGTTGAAGTCATTTAGGGCGTTCTCATATTGATTAAGATTAATATAGACAACACCTCTTCTGCTCAATGTCCATGCATTATTATTATCTGGTTCCATTGATAATGATCTATTGAAATCCTCCAACGCATTTACATACTGCTCAAGATGAAGATATACAGCTCCCCTAATGCTCCATGTATACGCATTATTTGGTTCAATATCCAACAATTTGTTGAGCTCATCTAATTCATCACGATATTTTAACCTCTTTAATCTCTTATAAACATGTTCACATGAAGGCCGCTTATCGGGGGTTTCATCCCAACATTCTGAATACAATTTGATATATTGGTCGGGTGTTCTAGGAAATGGGGCATCACGAAAGCCCTTAAGTCTGCGCAGAATGATTTCCCAGATTGTAGTACATCCTTCACACGGAATTTTTCCACTTGAAATTTCCCAAAGTATCACCCCGAGACTGAAAATATCGGATTTTTTTCCACGTTTCGTATTATCAGAAGACGCTGGATCCATGTATGCTGAATTGCCGCAACCATGAGATCGAGACACTTGCCCCAAAACGCTAGATAAACCAAAATCTGCGATCTTTGCAGTGCCTTCTTGAATAAGAATATTGTGTGAAGACTGAATGAATTAACTTAAATTAGTATTTCATCAAATTAAAGACGACCTGCATTATTAATGAATAAAACGACATACCAAATCCTTATGGATTATATCAAGTGAATGCAAATATCTTAGCCCGTTGACAATTCCTAAACCCAATTTGTATTTGTCTTTCCACATCAGACTATTAAAGTGTTTCGCTAGGTGTTCACGCAAAGTCCCGCCGTCAGCTAGCTCCAACATTATGCTATAATTATTATTATCGTTTGCAGCTGTTTGTTACAAAGAAACGGAATTAGTCGTAACTCAAGCTTATTGAGAATAAAGTAACCATCTGCTAAACCTTCTACTAGTCCCAAAAAACCGATAATGTTGGGGTGGCTGTTTGCCTGCATGTGATTAATCACCTAATGTATAAAGATAGTAATCAACATTAGTTTAAAAATAAGAGCATTAATACGCATAATAGCAATAGCGGAATAAATAACCTCTCGGACAAACATTCTGTCAAAATCACCATTTCTGTGCACGGGGGTGGAAAAGGTCTTCACCGCAACAGTCATGCCAGAAGGAATATGTTGCTTCTTGTATATGACGCTTGATGCCCCATTGCCCGCTATCGTAGATTCTAATGATAGGTCGCTTTCCGAACAACAAGGAATTAACCCTTCTTGAATGTATGCTCTAAGCATCGTTAATAAGATAATCGTTTTGCAGTATAAGATCTTAATATTAAGTCAGAATCATGTGATAAATTGAATTGTACTATTTAAATAATAATAGTTCGAGTCGACACTATGACTGCGTAAGCGATTTCACTCTAGCCATAAAACCGAACGAAAGGCCAATTTATTTTCGACATAGCAATCCCAGACTGGAATATTGGGATATAGACTATATAGGCTTCCGGAGTTGGAAGAAATACAGAAATGAAGTTTAGTTGCAGAGCTAGTCTGTTCAATTCAACTATCCTGACCTCTATGAAAGTTTTTAATTTGTTATACTAATGCTGAAAGGATGCCAAGTACATTATATGTACTGTATAGTTTATATATAACACATTGTAGAAATAGAATACCGGACACGTACCGAATGTCAGTTAGAAAGAGATCGGTCTGACAGTGAAGAGACTATAGCAACAGTGTATATAAATCTGATGGAAAATAGTCAGAACATGGAGACTGGCTGGCTAAGCTTGTCGCAGGAATGTGGCATCATTCCTTTAATAATTCGAAAAACTAACTCTTGTGCGTGTTGGAATTGGCGCCGACGAGATTAACGAATTCGACGGAGAGGTCTTCGCGAAAAATTTTGGTTATATATTCCAACTTCAATACTTGATAATATATCGCAGCCCTGGCAATAGTATGGAGAACGTTCGGCCTTCATACAGGTAGTTCAGTAGTTTATTGTTTGCAAACTATCAATATGTACATTTTATTAACGGTATAATTTACAACGTCTGTCAATTATTGCACCTTTAGCAAACGCGTGCAGGCTTTGATAACCGTTTCTATTAGGTAATACTTCTGTTCACTTGCGTTATATAGACCTCCGTTTCCTCTTAATCTATACAAATGCATCTCTTTTATTGATCTCCAGGGATTTATTAAAATCATTTAATGCACTACCACGTCGCTTGAGTTTAATGTAGACTGCTCCCCTTGCTCTCAATGCAAGCGCATCATCCGGTTTAATTGTCAATAATAGATTCAAATCAGTTAGTGCCTTCCCATATTGCTCAAGTTTAAGATAGACGTTTCCCCTTACGCGTAATGGAAACGGGTTAGTCGGTTCAATTTCCAGCGATTTGCTGAGATCATGCAATGCATTATCATACTGCTTAAGCTTTTGATATACAATTCCCCTTATACTCCATGCCACTGCATCGTTTGGAGTAATTTCCAATGATCTATTGAGATCGCGCAAAGCACTATCGTATTTTTGGAGTTTAAGATACAAAAGTCCCCTATTTCCCAGTGTCAACGCGTCATTCGGTTCAATTTCCAACGAAACGTTCAAGTCTTTCAATGCTCTGTCATACTGATTAAGCGCAACATAGACATCTCCTCTAACCCTCAACGCGTCTGCATCATTTGGTTGAATCCCCAATGATTTATCGAGATCGTTCAATGCCTTCTCATACTGTTGAAGCTCGTGATACACAGTACCCCTGTTCCTCAATGTCCATGCATCGTTTGGTTCAATCTTCAATGATTCGTTGAGATCATTCAATGCACTATCATATTGTTTCAGATTACGATAGACAGCTCCTCTTCCACTTAATGCATATGAATTGGCCGGTTCAATATCTAACAACATAGTGAAGTCATGTAATGCATTGTCATACTGTTTAAGGTTGAGAAAAACAGTTCCCCTTCTGCTCAATGACCATGTGTTGTTTGGTTCAATATCCAATGATTGTTTGAAGTCATCTAACGCTTTTTGATACTGTTCAAGATTAACATATTCAATTCCCATTCCACTCAATGACCACGCATTATTTGATTCAACATCCAACGAGTTGTTGAGATCGTTTAATGCATTATCGTAGCACTTAATATCAAGATAAACGGCTCCCCTTCTGCTTAATGTCCATGCATTATTTGGTTCAATCTCCAAGGATTCGTTGAAATCATACAATGCATCATCATAGCACTTAATATCAAGATAAACGGCTCCCCTTCTGCTCAATGTCCATGCATTATTTGGTTTAATCTCCAACGATTTGTTGAAATCATCCAATGCATCATCATAACACTTAATATCAAGATAAACGGCTCCTCTTCTGCTTAATGTCCAAGCATCGTTTGGACTAAGTTTCAACGATTTATTGAAGTCATGTAATGCGTTGTCATACTGTTTAAGATTAAGATAGACAGCTCCCCTTCTGCTCAAGGTCCATGCATTATTTGGTTCAATGGCCAATGAACTATGGAAGTCATTTAATGCTTCGTCATATCGGTGAAGGTCAAGATAGACAGCTCCTCTTCTACTCCATGCGTATGCATCATTCGATTCTACTATTGATTTGTCAAAATCACTTAATGCTTCGCTATATCGACCCAATGCGTATGAATTGGCTGGTTCAATCTCCAACGATTTAGTGAAGTCATGTAATGCACCATCATATTGCTGACGTTTGTGATAGACAGTTCCCTCTCGGCTCCCTGCATTTAAATTGGATAGTTCCATCTCCAATGATTTATTAAAGTCACGTAATGCGTTGTCATACTGTTTAAGATTAAGATAGACAGTGCCCCTTCTGTTTAACGCCCATACATTATTTGGTTCAAGTGCTAATGATCTATTGAAGTCACTTAATGCGTCCTCATAACGGTCAATATCAAGATAGACAGCTCCCCTTCCACTCAACGCGAATGCATTATTCGATTCAATCGCTAATGATTTATTGAAGTCATATAATGCGTTGTGGTACTGTTTAAGATCAAGATAGACAGCTCCTCTTCCACTCCATGCGTATGCATCATCCGATTCAATTGCTATTGATTTGTCAAAATCACTTAATGCGTCATCACATCGTTTAAGATTACGATAGACAGCTCCCCTTCTGCTCAATGCGTATGAATTGGCTGGTTCGATCTCCAACGATTTAGTGAAGTCGGTTAATGCGTTTTCATACTGTTTAAGATTAAGATAGGCAGTTCCCCTTCTGCTCAATGTCCATGCATTATTCGGTTCAATTCTTAATGATTCGTTGAAGTCATTCCACGCGTACGTATTGTTTCGTTCAGCCTCCAATAATTTGTTAAAGTCATTTAACGCTTCGTTATATTGTCCAAGGTGAAGATAGACAATTCCCCTATTTCTCAATGCATCCATATTATCCCGTCCGAACTCCAACAATACGTTGTAACTTTTTAATGCATCACAATACTCCAATGTCTTCAATTTCCTGTAAACATTTTCGCAAAATGGCCGCTTGTTTGGGTCTTCGTCCCAACACTCTGAATACAGTTCGACATAGTTTTCCGGTGTTCCGGGAATTGGGGCATCCCGTTGCCCATTGAGTCTATACCAAACAATATCAACATCTTCGACACGTCCTTCGCAAGGTAAATTTCCACTAGATATTTCCCATAGTATCACTCCGAGACTAAATATATCGGATTTCTTTCCGCGCCGATATGACTCAATCCTCAAAGACACCGGATCCTTGTATGGTAAAGTGCCATAATTATATGAATTAGACAACGCAGATACATGAAAGCCAGATATCTTTGCAACGCCTGATTTAATAAGCACGTTACTCGATGACTAGGGAATAAACGTAAATAGTCAGTCTGAGATAATTGTAAGTTAATCACAGCGTGTGCGATAAATACCAGATCCTTATGAATAATATCAAGTTCATGTAAACGTTTCAATCCATTGGTGATTTCTAAAGCCAGCGTGTACTGGTCTTTCCAAGTTAAATCATAGAAGTTTTTGCTTAGGTATTCCCGTAAAGTTCCACCGTCTGCCAGTTCAAAAATCATATGATAGTTGTCTAATTCGTCTGTATTCGTCGTTAAATTAAAATATTATTACCTGAAATTAAGTCAAGGAAACTTCCATCCATCAAACGCAACATACCTCTATATAGACCTAAAAAACGAATGATGTTGGGATGATCATTCACTTGCCTGTGGATTTTTATCTAAACGTAAAAACATTTACATACAAATTAGTCTATGGTGACTGTGAATGCCGAAAACATAACAGAAGATAATAATATCAACCTCTCTGACAAGATCTAGCACATATTCTTCGGAATACCCATAACGATCCGGAAAGTAAGTCTTCAGTGCGACGGCCTGCCATATATTTGCCTTATATACCACTCCAAATGCCCCACTGCCTATAGGAAGTGGATCTATTGTTATGTTGCTTTCCGTGTAGCAATAGATTGAACCTTCTTTAACGCTTTTTTCTAACCATTCCATTATGACAGCAACAGTGTGCCGAAAGGTGAGAATTCTTTTTTACCAAAAATAGAGATTATTGTTCACGTGAACTGCACGAAAAACATCTTATATTACATCATATTGAATTTGATTGGCTCTCACTCGATCAAAGCAAGAAAATGACTCAGACAATCACACACAACATGCATTGGGGGGAATGTTCTTAAATTGGTTGAGACACAAAGTAGATTTGGATTAAAGTTCTATGAGACGAAGTAATCGCAAGTATGGTGGCGGTCAAGCAACCTGAAGTCATCAGTCTATTTTAATTTGCGAAAAACATTATAACCAAATTACCAAATTTTTTTATCAACAGCTTTTAGATGGTTCTCCTGTTGATTGTAACAAACGAAATCGAATCCAGGCGATACTATTCCTTTCAAGTCTGATAGCAAATCAAGGAACTAAGTTCGTATCAGACTTATTATTATTAATATTATTAGTCAATTAAAGTAACAAATAGGAAAATAAAATCGGGAGATATTAGAACTAAAAAAATATATGAATATTGTGAAGAACGGAAAATTTTATACGATGACCTTGAACCTTGCAATATGCACATAAAAATGCAAAATTGGCATACATTGATCAGTGATAACAGTTGATTAGCTTCAAAAAATCTATTACAACACATGCCACAGATATGGCTAAGTAGACGCAATCAAGTTATTGTAAAGCTTCGAAACGTTAACTCATAATAATCTCGATACAGATTCTCCAAATTGCCATGTCCCTATCTAAATTACAAATAGAAACTCTCCTTGGACGATTGTCAGAAAAGTATAACGGGATCGACTCTAAAAGACTTGAAGAGTTTAATTCAAAAAGGAAGTTAAGCTGTATATAGTAATTCACAAAAAGTTATAGTTTGCGTTCTTTATTATTATTTCATAATTAGAATCGTGATTGTGCTAATAGTTTGTACATATAAGGAACATCGACACAATCATATTGTATATGTGCCTAATTTTGGATTGAAAATGTTACACTGGCTGAACATCGTTTACTATTACTATGTTTACTTCATATGTATCAAATCACAACGCAGCGATATTGTACTTGAGCATTACTTCTTAATCAATAAGACTGTCAATTCTAACAATAACGCATAAAAACAGCGTGTATTATTAATTATAAAATACAATTTGTATGAGTTACTTGGCTAAGCTACATTGCTCGGTACAATGAGCTTTTTTTTTCTTGACTTTTTATAATGACAATAACAAATAACGAGATAAGCGTGTTCCGTGTTTCAGATTTTACGGCCTAATGCTATTTAGTGAAACTCGGTAAGTCGGACAAATTCCTCTGCACTTTTCTTTTTTTTTTTTTTTCATATTAAAATCATTTCGATAAGTCGGATTCCTTGATAAGTCGGACAGCCCTGCCCGCCCCACCATGTCCGACTTATCGAGTTTCACTATGTACTCACAAATGTGTAAACGAGGACTCTTTTATAACGCGTTAATAAATAGGTGGTCATAATTATCTTGCAATCACGTAAATTTACATCAGGATTGGTAGAAAACGTTATTATTATTGTATTACTATTCCGGTTGGCAAATACACTTGCTGATTTATTAATAAGAAGCACGTTTTAGTGTACACGACATATTATAGGCCATCGGAAATGCAAGCGCTAAATCCAGAACTCATATGTTGAGTCTTTTTTAACAAGAGTAAGGATTGTCAATCTCGTTGAAAATACACGTAGTCAGATTGATAGTTATTTGCTGTTGTAATTGTCTGCTCGACTGCTGTTAAAGTATGACTTTTCAAATATTATGCAAACGTTTATGCTGCCAAATCATAATACTATAAATAATCCGCGTTATATAAGATGATATATGATAGTTCACTCGTCAGTTAAGCCAGATTTCCGTTTTATAAATTACATTATGGGACGCAATAACTGCAACTATAAAAGAGTTCAACGTTTCTCTGAATCTCCTGATTGAGAATTAATTTTGTGTAATTAGTATTGTCGATCAATTAGTAGAATAAATAATTCTGTTGGAAGGCAAGCACGTAGATATATAAGAATAGACACTTGATTTATTAATGATATCCACACTGATACTGCTGTTATTTAGTAAGCATTTTAATATATAACACTACACCAAGAAAGTAGGCAAATATATTAATATGAAGTAACGTATCAACTAGATTGCTATTTCTTGAACGAGTTACGCGCTCCAATAATGAATTATATGTTCATGTTAGCTCGTATATTTCGCGAGAAGTAACCAACCCTACAAATTAAATCAACTTTTTTTCCTGTTTTCGGGCGCCTACGTATTAGAGCAGTTCATTGACTGCATTGAGACATCGATGTACGTGGGTTTGAAAAGTTTTTACGTGTAGCTCTAACTCGAGCTTACAACAGTTTAACTAAAAATTCGAGTAATCATAAAGTGGGCATACTTTCATGTAACGAATGAAAAAAAAAGTAGAGGTAAATTCATTATCTCGTTGTCGAGAAAACTTTTTTTTATAAAGCATAGTAAAACAACTGGAAAAACATGAGCCATAAGAACTAACGACACTTTATTTTTGTTTCTTAGGAAATACGACTCAAATCTACGAAAAGTTGGTGAACATAGAAAGGAAACAAATATTGTCTACCAGCGCAATTAGACGTTGAATTGTTACATTCAAACACGAATAAGAAAAAACTAGAGACAAAGGCTCGTTCTGGACGTCTTCGCGAAGCAGTGACGTCAGAAAAATTGCAATAACCCGCACATTTTTATTAACATTTTAGCCAACCAAACCAGTATTTCTCCTGAAAAATTCTCTCTCATTTTGCATAGTGAGCTGGGCCTCCAGAAGAAAGGGACGACGTGACGTGCGACAATGCTGCGCCACATAAGGCAACGATCATGACGGAGTATCTTCATGCCGGGCGAGTGGAACTTATTCTCTATTTGCCATCCAGTCGAGACCGTATTCCTTGTGATTTTTTCTTATTCCCTCGAATAAAGAAACAACAGAAGGGAAAAAGATTTGATAAGGGCAAGGGCTGTTCAGGCAGTTGCCCAAAAGCCGACTATGAGAAGTCTTTTCAGAGTTGACAGAATCGTCTGCAATGTTTCATGGACATTAATGGAGAGTACTTTGAGGACAAAATAGTCGTATTGATACTTATTATGAAATTTCTGGAAATAAAGATCTACGCGCAAAACTTTTCAGACCCCCCACGTATTGTAAACCATTTGGTGGAGGAAACCCAGTAATCACAGTGGAATGTCGCCAACAAGGAACAATGAATTAAGAATGGAATAAAAATCGCTTTCCTTGTGTGAGACTACGAATAATACAATGCTGTGTTGTCTACTGCCATGTTGTATAAAAAGTAGGCTTGGCTTTTTTTAATGGGTTATTAATCTACTACATTCTTCGAGATTATAATGTACGGCGAGGTCTATGGTAAACACTCTCGTAATAAATATCACTGTTATTGAAATAAAGTTGTAAACTCACATTCATATACAAAAATCGAAAATTTATTATACATTAATATTAGCAATGCTCTACAATGCTTTCGCTTAAACTACTTTTACAGTTTCGCATCATTCGCTGAATGAGACTTTTTCCGATAACTCTGAATGAGTAATGGCTGTGATTGACTTAGTTATATCGGCTAAGTCCAACGCGTTATGATGTTGTCAACGTTTTACATCGTCTGGTAAGACAGCACTTTTTTTCTTCAACCTCATCATGTTGTCAGGTTCAATGACCAACGATTTTTCGACGTTGTTGAATGCCTCATCATACCGTCCGAGATTATGGTAGACGGCTCCCCTAATGTTCAATGTCCATGAATTATTTGGTTCGATCTCTAACGATTTGTTGAAATCCCTTAATGCGTCCTCGTATTTCTTAAGATAATAATATACGGTTCCTCTTCCCCTCAATGTCTGTGCATTATTCGGCTCAATATTCAACGAATCGTTGAAATCTTTCAAGGCGTTATCATACTGTTTAAGATTAAGATAGACGCCTCCACGTCTGTTTAATGTCCATGCATCATTTGGTTTAATAGTCAATGATTTATTGAAATCATTCAACGCATCATAATATTGTCCGAGGTTAAGATAAACAAATCCCCTTCTGCTTAATACCCATGCATCATTTGGTTCAATTGCTAATGATCTACTGAAGTCATTTAATGCTTCGTCGTATTGTTTGATATTAAGATAGACACCTCCACGTCCGTTCAACGTCCACGCATCATTCGGTTTAATAGCCAAAGATTTATTGAAATCATTTAACGAATCATCATATTGTCCAAGATTAAGATAAACAATTCCTCTTCTGCTCAATATCCATGCATTATCCGGTTCGATTGCTAATGATTTACTGAAATCCTTCAATGCATCGTCAAATCGCTTATGGTTAAGATAGAAAGCTCCCCTCGTACTTAGTGTCCAAGCATCAATTCTACCCAACGATTTGTCGAGATCATCTAATTCGTTCGCATGCCTTCTGCTCGACGTCCGTGAATTATTTAATTCAATCTCCGACGATTTGTTGAAGTCATTTAATGCTTCATTATACTGTCCAAGATGAAGATAGACAGCCCCCCTATTCCTCAACGCACACGCATCGTCTGGTTCCATTGCTAATGATTTATTGAAATCTTTCAACGCATCATCAAGCCGTCCAAGATTAAGATAGACAGCTCCCCTCGTACTCAACGTCCAAGCATTGTTGGGTTCAATCTCCAACGATTTGTTGAGGTCTTCTAATGCGTTCTTATACTGCTTAAAATAGCGATAGACAGCTCCCCTTCTGCTCAATGTCCACGCATTATTATTATTATCCGGTTCCGTTGTTAATGATCTATTGAAATCCTCCAACGCATCTTCATACTGTTCAAGGCGAAGATATATCGCACCCCTAGTTCTCAACGCATACGCATTATTTGGTTCAATTTCCAACGATTTGTTGAGGTCATCTAATGCATCACGATACTCTAATTTCTTTAATCTCTTATAAACATCTTCACATAAAGGCCGCTTACTGGGGATTTCATCCCAACATTGTGAATACAATTTGATATATTCGTTGGGTGTTCCAGGGAACGGGGCATCACGAAAGCCCTTGAGTCTACAAAGAATGATCGCGGATTCTTTAGCACGTCCTTCACAAGGGATTTTTCCACTTGAAATCTCCCAAAGTATCACTCCAAGACTGAAAATATCGGATTCCTTTCCGCGTTTCGTACTATCAAAAGAGGCTGGATCCTTGTATGCTGAGTTGCCGTAACCATGAGATTGAGACATTTGAGCCAAAACGCTAGACAAACCAAAATCAGCAATCTTTGCGGTGCCTGCTTGAATAAGAATATTGTTGGAAGACTAAAATAAATTAATCTAAATTAGTATTTTTTACCAACTAAATGCGTACACATTACCGATGTAACAGGGACATACCAAATCCTTATGGATTATACCAAGTGAATGCAAATATCTTAACCCATTGACAGTCCCTAAACCCAATTTGTATTTGTCTTTCCACATCAGACTATTAAAGTGATCGGCTAGATGTTCACGTAAAGTCCCGCCGTCAGCTAGTTCCAACATTATGCTATAATTGTTATTATCGTTTGCGGCTGTTTGTTACAAAGCAACGGAATTAGTCGTGACTCAAGCTTGTTGAGAATAATAGTAACCATTTATCAAACCTTCTACTAGTCCGAGAAAACCGATAATGTTGGGATGGCCGTTTGCCATTCTGTGGTTAGTCACCTAATGTATAAAGGAAATGATCAAACATTAGCTCATAGAAAGTAGAGGTAAGCAATGTGCTATATAACAATAGTGACCTCTCGAACAAACTGTCTGTCAATGTCACCATTTCTGTATACAGGAAAAATAAACATCTTCACTGCAACAATCTTGCCAGTCGGAATGTGTCGCTTCTTATATATGACACCTGATGCACCCCTGCCCATCTCCGTAGACTCTGCTGATAGGTCGTTCTCCGAATAGCAAGAGATTAACCCCTGCTGGATTTTTGTCCGAAGCGTCGTTTGTAGGATATTCATAATGGTATAGCGATAGCAGTATCCTGAATAAAACGTTCTAAGTCCGAAATAACAAATACCTCTTTGTGTGACATACACACTGCAGCAATTTTTGATTGATAGATATTACCACTTTTATATCCTCGACAAAATTGTCCCAACATTATTTCGAGGTTATAGGATATGTTACTGTATCTTTTTTTTGATTTAAACGGGTCCGCCGACAAAAATACCAAAAAAGGATAAATTCGGCGATCACCATTATTAGTTCACATCGAATTTATTACGTGATCTTCGGTATGTCAATGTTTAATTGCGTTCCGAAACAGTTGGAAGGGTGTTTTATCAAACTTGTTCGATTCCAATTGCTATTTAAGTGATCTTTGACCCATATCACCCAATTTTCTTTATGTGCCTTTGTTTGCATGGAACTGGTACAGTTATGGGAAATACCACAGTTTCAGGAGTCTCTTCGAACATACTGGTCAATTCTACGAGCATCAATGTTAGTTATAACATTTTTTATGACAATTTCACTCCCTGTGCTTTTATTTCCTTTTTCTCCGTTTTTTTTTGTTATAATAAATTATTCTCATTGAAATCTTGGTCAATGATTGTATTTCGCTTTACATATTTCCTTCTCCCAATATAGGCCTTGGTTTGATTCATTTATTACACGCAATTTTGAGTTACATATTAGTATGTACAAGTTATTTCTAAAATTTTATGCCTTTTTTTTGAGCACTGTATACGCTCACCTGAAATAAGTAACGGACCTTCTTTCATAAAAGTATGCTACATAATAGTTGATCTTAATTTTATTGGGTAGCTTTCTGAGAAACTGTTACAATTTAATATGACATGCTTTCAACCAAACATTTTGCGGAATTTTGGCCCAATCCTCCAGTAAAGCATTTCTAAGTCCGAAACATTTTTGGACGCTTTCGAAGTCGATGTTCCACTCTAATCACATATGTTCGATTGAATTCAAGTCAGATAATTGGCTTGGCAAATCGGGCAAAGTTTTAATCTCCATCACCACAATTCAGGTTTGAACGTCTTTCGCTGTATGGATCGACGTGTAGTCTTGTTAAAAAAAAATAACCTTTCTCGGTATGTTTAGTGATGATAGATTTTTCAAGTATTCGAATGTGCCTTTAATTTTTCCAATTCCTTATCTGAAAAGCAGCCGCATATCATTAACTGAAGAAGCAATGCTTTTAATATTAAGACATTTTGCCAAACACGGCCTGTCTAACCATTATAAGCATAGTAAAACAACTTTATTGCTCCAGATAACGCTTATCCATTTTTTACATTCTCTTTCTTTCGAAACACCAACTAAGTTGGTTTTTTTGCTGTGACAATAAAAAGTTTTCCTTACTGGAATAGGCAAACTAAACCCAATGCCTGTTAGAGTACGATCAAAAATTTTGTTATTTTTATTTTTACTTTTTTTTTAAATTTTTTATTAAGCATATGAACAGGTTACTTAAAACAATTTGTAATATAGAAATCTGGGACAACCACTTATTGACGCAGCCTGCACATTTCCATAAATTATCCGCGTAATAGTTGTTTAGAAAACCTTGTGTCTTATTAATGTTGTTTCGTAAAACTAGCATTATGAATGCTAACAATTCGGTAATGATTACTTTTAGTCAGATCCAAATTCGTAAACATTTTCTATTCGTTGATTTAACGAACTTGTCCTCTATTTACGTATTGATTAACTTTAACCTTTACTTTGTAACAACGACAATTAACAGACACGATGCGTAATCTGTTCTATACAGTCATACCTCGTTTATATCCCCACTTTGGGACAGAACTTTTTTGGGGATATATTCGAGGTGGGATACAACTGAGGTATATATGTGTGTAACATTATTTAAAGCATACAAT